AGTCTTTCCCCCTTGTGGGAAAAAACTATTATATGACTACTATATGCCTTGGGGAAGTTTTTATAGTTTTGGGTCTTAGATTTAAGTCTTTAATCCATTTTGATTTGATTGTCTAGTATGGTGAGTGATAGGGGTCTAGTTTCATTCTTCTGCATTAGCAATTCAATTTTCTCAGCATTATTTATTGAAGAGATTGTTCTTTTCTCACTGTTTGTTCTTGTTGCTTTTGTTGAAAATGAGTTGTCTGTTGTATTCATCTGGATTCTCCAGAGGGAGAGAACCTCTTTCTCTATATGTATATATTGAAGGGAATTTATTAGGTTGAATTGGCTCACATAACTACAAGGCAAAGCCTCAGGATAGGCTGTCTGCAAGCTGGGCAAAGAGAAAGCCATAGCATGGCTTAGTCAAGGTCTGAAGGCCTCAACATCAGGGTAGCCAACAGTACAGCCCTCAATCTGAGACAGATGGCCCAAGAGTTCCTGGGAGGCTGCTGGTGCAAATCCTAGAGTCTAAAGGCTGAAGAATCTGGAATCTGATGTCCAAGGGCAGGAAGAGATGATGCAAAGCTTTCCACCTGGGAAGGGGGAGAGAGACAGAAACAGGAAAGTGAGCAAGCTGCTTATTCTTCTTCTTTCACCTGCTTTGTTTGAACTGCACTGATAGCAGATTGGATGGTGATTGCCCACATTGAGGGTGGGTCTTTCCCTCCTAGTTCACTGATTCACATGTCAATCTCCTCCAGAAATACCCACAGGTCTGGTGGTGGTGAATTCTCTTAGCTTTTGTTAGTTTGGAAAAGACCATCTCTCCTTCATATTTGAAGGATAGCTTTGCTGAATACAGTATTCTTGGATGACAGTTTTTTTCTTTGAGCACTTTGGAAATGTTGTTCCACTCCTTCCTGGCCTGTATGGTCTCTGTTGAAAAGTCTGTTGCCAAATGAATTTGAATCCCTTTATTTGTTATTTGCTTCTTTTCTCTTGCTGCTTTTAGAATCCTCTCTTTGTCCTCAATCTTTGAGAGTTTGACTATTATATGCCTTGGGGTGATGTTATTTGGGTCAGATCTGTTTGGTGTTCTCTGATATCCTGTAGCTGGATATTCATCTCCTCAAATTTTGGAAAGTTTTCTGTTATCATTTCTTTGAATAAGTGTTCTACCCCCTCCTCCCCGTCTTTCTTAACTTCCTCTAGAATACCAACAGTTCTTAGATTTGGTCTTTAGAGATGATTTTCTTTATCCTTCAGGCAACCTTCATTCCTTTTTATTCTTTCTTTTCCTCTTGCTATATATTTTCAAATAGCCTGTCTTTGAGTTTGTTAATTTGTTCCTCTTCTTGATCCATTCTTATGTTGAGAGCCTCTAAATAATTTTTCAGTTAAGCAGATGTATTTATCAATTCCAAGATTTCCATTTGATTTTTTCTTTTATTTCAATCTCTTTGATAAATTTGGGTTGGTTTTCTGTGTTATCTTGAAAATCAGAGTTTCCTTAAAACTACTATTTTGACTTCTTGGCCAGAGAGCTCAAGTATCATCATCTTGTTAGGGTTAGTCAGTGGTACCTCACTTTGTTTTTTGGGGGGAGATCATAGTTCCCTGTTTGCTCTTCTTTCTTGTGGATGTATGTCTGTGTTTGCATTGAAGAATTAGTTATTAGTCCAGTCTTCTCTCTTCAACTTGTTTTGCTTTTTATTGGATATGTTTACTTGGGAGTTCTTTGTAATTTACCTGTTGAATTTCTATATATCCCACTATTTTACTGCCTCCTTTTCAGCATTAGATGGTGCCTTAAGCACAGGTTTTCCTCAGCGCTAGTAAACACTTGAAGTGCTGCCCATACCAAATGAGGGAGGTGCCAAAGGGGATATCCCAGCAGTGTGGGAAGGCTGGCTGGGGATTCATATCCAGGGGACCTGTGAATGAATCTCTTATAGCCACTCTGGTTTGGCGTCTCTTTTGGCTAAGTTACAGAATGGAGTTGTCAGGGCCAGGGATGGAAGGCCCACCTTCCCTCTTTGTCTCTCCCTGTCCTCATGAATATTTCTCCCTTAAGGTACTCCCAATTCTTTCTGTAGGCAGGGACAGGTCTCCTGCAAGGGAAGACCAGGTGGGGAAGCTGGTTGTCACCTCAGTTTCACCTTTTCAGTGTCAAACTGTAACATGGGGAAATTTTCCACATTCTTGGTGCCTGGCAGATTGGAGAGGGGGGAGTCTCAGCTACGAACTTTCGATTTACTTACCATCTGCCTGGAGTTTTTTCACTTCTCTTTGGCCCTGGGAACTGTCTCATCCCCATGTTTGAGTTCTGGGATATTGCTGGTGATGATCTAAGTGCTTGTTTTTGGTTTTCTGTGGAGGGGAGTGCAACCATCCTGCTTTTGTGCCACCATTTTGGAACTGGAAACCCCATCCTATTACATCTTATAGTGTCTGGAGTGAATTGAATTCAAATAGGAAGTTTGAGGACATTTACCCTTTGCCACTCAAAGTGTGGTCATTGCACCAGCAACATTGACCTCTCCTGGGAATGTGTTAGAAATGCAGACTCTCCAACCCATCCCAGACTTACTGAATCAGAGTTTGCATTTGAACGAGCTACCAGAAAACTCACGTGCACTTTTAAGTTAGAGAAGCACTGTCCTAGTCTGTTCTAGTAGACTAATGTTGATGAGTACTGTCTTCAGGTGTCTGTAGTTTTATGTCTTTAATTCTGTAGCAGGACAGATAAAAATTGTATATTGTGGCAGTCATTTTAATACCATACTGTAGCCTTTTCTTGGTGTGCGTTAGTTTCTCTGAATCATGGCTCCTACTGATTGTATCTTAGGATGCAAACATTTGGGCTCATTTTTCTATATCTAATAGAGTAAAAGTTAATGTGCATCTTCCTCCCTATTCTGCTTTCTTATCTTTGGCTTCCTGGCATAAGCAAGATCCCCTTCCTCTTCAATTCTCCACCTTCATGGTGCTCAGAGACACGAGCGTCCCCAAGTACACTGAGAATTTTGGTCAAGTGGGAAACGTTTACTCACAGTTGGGCTCACGTGTGGACGGTGTGTGGATGTGTTTGTTTACACAGTTGGAGTTGTGTATGAACTGTACGTGTCTGTTTTATACAGATGGAATCTCAGGTTCAAGTGTTCTATGGCCCGGCTCTCTTACAGAATACTTTTTACATTCTTAGAGCATGTGAACTTCATATTTCCTTTACTTATAAATGTTGGTTGCTTTATGTCAGGGGTCAGGATTGTTGTACAGGAATGCATCATATTTATTTGACTTTGTCCTGTTAGCTGTCCATGAGCTATCATGTATGTGAGTTCCATATGTGTTCCTTATTCTTTAATGAGCTTCATGTCAGCTAGTTTATTCTGTCTAGTAGAATTTTACAGTGACATTCTATCACCCCACAGGACCACGTAAACAAGGAGGAACTGAGTGTAAACTAATTTTCTAGCTAATTCAGGGCTATTTCTTTAAGGGTCAGATTCTTTAAGTGTGAACTGTCTTAATATAATTTATCATATGTAACTTTATCTCATATTACTATTTTCATATAATTTATCATATACATCTTTAGTACCTTAGGCAGAAGAAGGCTAAAAGTGGTTTTATCTTTAAGCACAACTCTGATATCTGTATTGTGAAACACCGGGCTGCTGTACCTTGGGGATGTTTTTCTCTGGGGCAGTGGCAGGAGATGGCACAGGGAACTATTTCTTGTTCCTTTAGGTGATCTCAGGCTGCTATATATTTTGAGTACTCAGCTTTGGTTTTATCCTGTCATTCCAGGCTTGGTTGCTTTCAGGTCTTATAACAATGTACGTACCTCTGGTGTATTTTGTATCCTGAGCCCCTTCTTCTTCCGTTTTGGCACTTCTAATCTGTCGTGTATTCAAAACCTGCTAGATAATCTTGCTAGAATATATTTCAATTAAGAATAGGCTCAGGGCCAGGCGTGGTGGCTCATGCCTATAATCCCAGCACTTTGGGAAGCTGAGATGAGAGGATTGCTTGAGCCCAGGGATTTGAGGCCAAGCTGACCTCATCTCTACAAAAATAAAAAAAAAAATTAGCCAGGTGTGGTGGCGTGCACCTGTAGTCTAGGAGGCCGAGGCAGAAGCATCGCCTGAGCCTGGAAGGTTGAGGCTGCAGTGAACTGTGATAGTGCCACTGTACTCCAGCCTGGGCAACAGAGTAAGACTCCAAGTCAAAATAAATAAATAAAGTCTCAGAGTAATGCCTTCAGAGAGTGAGCTAGGAATCATGCAGGTGCTCTCACGGTGTGAACTTGAATAGACCTAGTTGCCTCCACAGGAGGTGTGGTTCATTTTGCCTTTGAGTTATTTCATTGCTCATTGACTGTCTGCTATGCACTACGTGCTAGGAACATACAAAGTTGAAATACACATCCTTGCTGTTTCTGTAATCTGTTCTAGGGATAGAGAAATAGAGCAGAGTGGAGACTGTGATGTAGGTGTAAACACCATGTTGTGGGCTCAGATGAAGAGGAGTCGTCATGAATTTGATCAAACTTACTGGAAGATATGGGAAGGGAGGCTGGGAAGGACAGTGGAGTCATGCAGAGACAGGGCAGCGTGGAAGGAAGAGGATATCCTAGGTGGAAACCTAAGTGGGAGCAAAGGTGACTAAACAAAGGGTATGTGGAAGGAATGGCTTTTGTTTGGGTGTGACCGAAGCCTCATCATCCGTGGTGGGTACCCAGGAGGGACACATGGACTGTTATTCACAGGCCTGTTGTTCCTGGCATGGAACCCCACAGAAGGTGGGTGAATGTCTCTGCTTCTGTCATGTGCAAACGAGACAAACACATGGGTATCAGCATTGGAAAACAAAGACCACAAAATAAAGCTCCGCAGGGAAGGTCAGCACGGCAATTTCCTTGTCTTGAGTTTTGGGAAACGTATTGTCCTGTTCTCGCGTTTTAGAACTTAGATCTATAACTGACCGTGGTGTCTTTCTTTGCACTTACAGTACGGCCAAGTACAGCGTGTTGACATTTCTACCTCGATTCTTGTATGAGCAGATTAGAAGAGCTGCTAATGCCTTCTTCCTCTTCATTGCCTTACTACAGGTAATGGTTTTTGAAAAGTTACTTAACATTTGCAGCCTTAATGACATGCAGAATGAGATTTTGCAAAAAGGTTCCTAAACTGCCAAAGTGTCACAATATTTGAATGTAGACTGTTTCTTCCATCCTGTCATTGTTTGAAAAACTGAACAGGCTTGGCTTTGTCTACAGGGAGACTTATTCTGGGATTGCCTTAAGGAGAATTGCAGTGACTAAAAGAGGCATTCAAACATGGCCCTGGGGTCATCCTTTTAAGCCTTTTGTTGTTCCGAATGCATAGCAATGTTGGATAAATTTTTTAAAAAATGTGTAAAATACATAGATAGTATTTTTAAAGTAAGGTGATTATTTTTGTGTGATAGAAATGGAACAGAACTGCAGAAGAGTGAGCAGTGAGTGCCTAAGTCCTTTTCTGTAATCTGCCAACTTCCCTCTTCTGGTCTCTTGTCTTCCAGCAAATTCCAGATGTATCACCAACAGGAAGATATACCACCCTGGTGCCATTGATCATTATTTTAACAATTGCAGGCATCAAAGAGATTGTAGAAGATTTTGTAAGTTGTTGCTTTCGAATAATGCAAACACTGTATAAAATATAACTTATAACTTACCTGCTCCCTTGGTTGATACGTTTGAGATGGGAAATTGGTCTGTAGCTTAGCCAGCCTCTCGAGACTGGTGATGGTAGTCTTTGGGAGGGAGTGTGTCCTTAGAGTGTCCTACCTGTCTGTACAGTGACACGGAAGCACTTCAAACTTTGCTTTCCAATTTTGGGTCTCTGGGCCCTCTTGATTTTCATCAGTGATGTTGCCTTAGAGTTTGCTAATTTGGGGGCAGATGAAGCATTAGAATGCCCGGGCCAGAGGTAATTTTACAAGGATCATCTCCTATTCACACAACTTTTCACAGGGAATCTCAAAGTTCTATGGCTCTAGTCATATTTCTATTCTCTCTTGCTCTCTCTTTCTCTCTCTCTCTCTCATGTCTGTCTCTGTCTCTCTGTCTCTGCATCTTTCTCTCCTACCACCCCCTATCTCTTAAAACACACACACACACACACATACACATACACACACACACACACACACACACACACACACACACACACCCCACACACACACACACACGTGCATATACACATAACAGGTAAAGAAATAAATGCAATACAGGTTGAGCATCCCTAATCAAACAAATCCCAAATCTGAAATGCCCCCAAAATCCAAAACCTTTTTGAGCACCAAAATGACACCACAAGTAGAAACCGCCACACCTGACCTCCTGTGATGGGTGCACAGAATTAGTCAAGATATTATATAAAATTACCTTCAGACTATGTGTATCAGGTGTATATGAAACATAAATTAATATATTTCATGTTTAGATGTGGATCCAATCCTTAGAGTATCTCATTATGTATATACAAATATTCCAAAATCTGAAACAATCTGAAATCCTAAACACTTCTGGTCCCAAGCATTTCAGATAACAGACCCTTAGCCTGTATAAATCAAAGCAAAGTGCTACATCAGTAAAATGAAATCAACTGTTTGTTGTTGGGTTTATCATACTGAATCATTATTTTAGTCCAGTCTAAGACAGGAAGTGAGAAGTTTCATACTTCAGAGTGCTTGTTAATTGTTAGAGTTGAAATAGAATAATTGAAACCCAAAGAGACTGCATCTAAATTTAGCAAGTGGTGATAGATCCTAAAACCATCAGACTGAATTTGACAGCACAAGTATTTTGGCAGTTAGTTTCCTTGTCTCTTGTTTTTTTCCTGATCTTGTTTGCTATTTCAATTATTCACGTGGAACTTCTGAATGTAAGACCTTTTTTTTTCTTTCTGTAACAGAAGCGACATAAGGCAGATAATGCAGTTAACAAAAAGAAAACAATAGGTAAGATACTAAGCTGAATCACTTTTTCCACTGGAAAACAAGAATAAGACTTGTGTTTAAGGAATTTTAAATAGGTAGTTAACGGCACTGAGATAAATTGGAAAAATGATCTATAAAATACTCTAAAGGAATAGTAAAATAACAAACAAATTGAACAAAATTTTAGTCCTGATAATGAAAAATTGACCAAGATTTGTATATTTTAGAATGTTAGAAAAGTTGTAATTTTCAGGAACTAGGCAGTTTTTTTGTCCATAAAAAGTCCAAGCATTCACATCCTTAGTTTATAGTCTCTTCTGGCTTCTTTCGTTCTACTTTTTATTGTTTTTATTTCTACAACACCAATTGCTTTTTTAAAAAAATTGTGTGTCTGGGCTCAGTTGCTCAGCCTGTCATCCCAGTACTTTGGGAGACCGAGGTGAGTGGATTGCCTGAATCCACGGGTTTGAGATCAGCCTAGGAACTTGGTGAGACCTCATCTCTACAATAAGTCAAAAATTAGCCAGGCGTGGTAGTGCCTGCCTGTAGTTGCAGCTTCTTGGAGGGCTGAGGTAGAAAGATCACTGGAGCATAGCAGGTCAATGCTGGGGTGACTGTGAGTATGCCACCGCACTCCAGCCTGGTCGACAGAGTGAGACTTCAACTAAAAAAAAAAAAAAATTATGTAATGTAGGCTTTTTTAATTCTTTTGGGCTAAATAGAAATATATTAACTTACATAATATATAAACATGTATGTATATGCATTAATGTATATATGCTACAGAGATACATGAATTCAAGTTCAATTTTGGGGGGTAGGATGGTGTTATGCCTTTATGTCTAAGGATATAGAGTTATGTTAGAATGAATAAATGAAATTTTAAAAGGGACATTTTAGAGTCTCAGAAACTGATTTTAATTTTTCACCAGTATTAACTAATATATTCTTTCTTTCTTTTTCAGTGTTAAGAAATGGTATGTGGCATACCATTGTGTGGAAAGAGGTAAAAACTAATTTTAAAGATATACCAGAAAGCATTGGTTGGGAGACTTGTAGTGACTTGCTGGTATTGATTGCAGTATAAAGTTTGTGTTAAGACGTAGGTCCTCTCCTCTTTATGTAAGTTTTATGGTATGGAGTTTTTCATGAGATCTACTAAGAACTGATGCATGTCTGTGCTGTCCCCTGTCCCTTCTAGAATGTTCCCAGTGTATCAGCGTAAGCTGCCAACCTTTGTTGCCCCTCACGAATCCTTCTGAAACCTCGAAGCATTTTCTAGATTCTGAATCCCATTCGAGAAACAAAACCTGGTCTTCTGTTGTTCCCTTAACCTAAATTAAAGTTTGTTTTTCTTTTTTAACTTTTGAGATTCTCTCTTCCAACATTTTTAGCGGAAAGAGCCTTACATATAAAGTAGTGGGCTAGGGGTTGGCATCTTGTTTGTTTCCGAGGAGGGACTGCTTGAACTCGGTCAATACAGCAGTTGCTGCTCTTAACAATAGCAAAGAAGGGTTTGCCTCCCTGGAGGCATGAGGTTTGAAGAGTTCAAGAATGGTATGGTTGTTTTTCGGGATCGTATGTAGTGATGAATAGAAAATTTGGAAGAAATCGGCCATGCCATCTGGGTATTTTATATCTGATAAAACCAACTCCTTAAGCAAGTCTGTTTTAGCTGGACCCTCTTAATGGACACGAGATGTTTTTGGGGCATGCCTCTCATTAGTCCAGCATTCAAAGCTGATTAACATGATTTCCAAAAGAAAACAACTTTTTTTAGAAGGGCCACTTAAAAGCGTTTTTCTTGCTCAGCATTGAGTAAACAATGTTGAAAACATGATGGCCTTTTTGTATCTGGAAAATTCCTGTGATAGGGCAACTGCAACATTCGCTTTAGTTTTTATTTTCTTTTGCCTTGTTTTAGGGGAACCACTCACCATTCAAAAGTTTCCCCTTTGTGGTGTTTTGCAGTGACACCTTAACCTTTGTAGCCATCTGGAAGTAGTATCCTGTAGACATTCACCGACTTCCCTCTCGTTTGGTCAAGAGGTTGGGAATTCTTGACTTTACAGCGGGAGAAACTTCCTCAATGCCAAAGGGATTCAGAGATCTTCAACCTGGAGATTTACTCCTCATTTTTCTCTGGGTTTCCTCTTGCTACCCACTTCTGAGAAAGGCCTCAAGACCGGCCAGAGTGAAGAATGATTTGGATTTGGGCCGTCTGCCACTGCTTGAAAGAGCAGGAATGTAGTGAGAGTCCCTGCATCTGGGTCCAGGCGTGGATGGCTATGCAGACTTCGAAAGCTCATGGCTGTAGCCCACACACATTTGGGAAACAACAACAAGGAAACGCCTGTTGTATACTTTGCCACGTGGATTTTTGTTTCAATTTAAAATGCATTTTGTTTGCTTATTTAAATGGAGCTCTTAGTGTGTGCCCCAGACCATGCTAGGCCTGGGGAGAAAGCAGGAGGAAGAAGGAAGGCCCGGCCTTAAGGAGTCTTATCATGCAATGGGTCTCAAATTTCAGCAGGCATCTGGCACCCAAGGGGCTGCTGAAACACGGGCGGCCGGGCCCCACAGCCAGATTTTCTGGTTCCCTGGGTTTGGGGCTCCAGAATGTGCATTTTTAACCGGCTCCCAGGTGAGGCTGATGTGCTGGTCAGGAACACTGGTGTCGTGAGAGAGACAGACGACTCACCACGCCACAGTGCCGCTGCTGGGTCTGCGTAGGGGTGAGCGCCAGTGCCCTTGGAACGTCTGGGAGGGGGCCCTCCCATCTAGATCCACTGGTTCAGCTCAGAAAAGGCTTCCCCCTGGGAGGGGCTCGAGTGCCTTCTTGGAGGGTGAGAAGGAGGTGACCAGTTTGGGAGGCACAGTTGCAGAACTGTGAGCGACCAGCATGAGGGTGGAAGTAGAGGAGGTCACAGGTGCCAGAGAGGCAGGCAAGGGAGAACTGGTTGTCTCTAAGGTCCACAATCACGCTCTCATCAGAAACGCTAAAGTTCAAGGTAGCTGTCCCCGGGCTGTGGCTGGTGAACTTATTTTCCTGTGTTAGAAGTGAGGAACTGGCATCTTAGAGGTGAACCAGCTTGCCAAGGCACAGAACGAGTGTGCATCTATAAGGGGGGGACCACAAAACCCGGGATTTATTTATAAAAAATTGTAGATTTATTCTTACATGTTTAAACTTCAGTCACCTTCAAAGGACTCTCCACTGGATGCAGTACACCTATGGAGATGCTTTTTCCACTGCTCAACAAAGTATTTGAATTTGTCCATGTTGATGCCTTAGTACTTCTGTATTTGGTTTTGTTTTTGAGTTGGAGTCTCACTCCATCACCCAGGCTGGAGTGCAGTGGTATGCTCATGGCCATGCCTGCCGGGCTCAGGTGATTCTTCCGTCTCAGCCCTCCAAGTAGCCGGTGCTACAGGTGCTCCCTAACGTGCCTGGCTAATTTTTTGGATATATTGTAGAGATGAGGTCTCACCCAGTTGCCCAGGCCGGTTTTGAGCCACTGGTCTCAGGCAATCCTCTAGCCTTTGCCTCCCAAAGTGTCTGCTGTTTTTTGTTTCTCCTCTTCCACATTGCAAAACATTTTCCTTTAAGAACTTTTTTCAAAAAAAGTTGATCAGGGCAAGATTGGGTGAATAGGGAGGGTGGGGCACAAGGTCATGCTGTCACTGCCGAACACTTCAGTGGGCAGGTATGCTTGTCAATCACCCATCATGAAATGGGCAAACACATTGAAATAATCTCCCCCCAGAATTCACTGATGTTGAATGCAACCTCTTACAACAAAGCTAGCTGGTCCCCAGATGCCAGTGGGTTTCCTAGGAGACTTACCTAATGGGGAAGCAAGTACTACAAGGAACTGGCCCTGTAAAAGATAAGTCCTGTTTTTTCAAGGTTACCCCTGACATGAAGCTAGGGTATGAACCTTGATGTGCTGGGCTTGGTGTTCTCTGTGACATTATTTAAGGGGTCTACAGACACCTGGCAGAGGTTTGGAGACTGCAGCCTGTCTTCCTGACTTGGGATCTTCTGTCCAGTGGAGTTTGTTTCCCAAAGTGGTCTCTGACTTTGGCCGAAGCTCTATCTCTGGTCATTTTTTTTTTTTTTTTTTGAGGCCGTACAAATCCTTTCTGTTTTCTGTGGTGTATTACCAGGGGGACTTTTAGATGCCCTGTTCATCGCCGAATCTGGAGGGACTTTGAATCAGAGCACTGGTTTTCCAGTCGGATTGTCCGTTTTGAATCCTGGTTGCAGCACTCACTGGCTGTAGGACCTTGGTCAAGTTATTTTGTTTTGAGCTTCTGTTTCCCATTTGTAAAACAGAGAAAACTTTAAGTGTGTTAACTTTGTTGTTTCTCTCAGTATCGTCATGAAATTCAGGCTGTTATACTCATTATACACATGAGAAAATTGAGGTGTGGTGTGAACACACACTGTGTGCATAAATTGCCCATATCATACAGCTTGTTGGAGGTACAGCAGGGGATTTGAACCCTGGCAGTCAGGCCAGCTCTGACCACCCTACTCGATTGTGTATAGCTATGGAAGTGCGGAAGGATTTGTAAGCAGATGGGCAATTGTAAGAAAATGAGATCTTTTTTTTTTTTTTTTTTTTGAATTGGAGTCTCACTCTATCGCCCAGACTGGAGTGCAGTGGCCACTCCCGGCCACCGCAGCCTCGACCTGCTGGGCTCGGCGATCCTTCCGCCTCAGCCTTCCAAGTAGCTGGAACTACAGGTGTGCGCTACCACGCCCGGCTAATTTTTTGATTTATTGTAGAGATGAGGTCTCTCCTGCCCAGGCAGGTCTCGAACCTGCGGGCTCAGGCAGTCCTCTCACCTCAGCCTCTCAAAGGCGCAGGATTACAGGCTGAGCCACTGAGCCTGGCTGAAAATGAGATCTTTACAACGACTCTGACTCCTCCCTTTCTCTCTCTCCATTTCCTTTTTTCTTTTTTTGAGTCGGGGGTTTCACTCTTGCCCAGGTGGGAATGCAGTGACATGATTATGTCTCACCACAGCTTCAACTTTCTGGGCTCTGGCGACCCTCCCATCTCAGCGTCCCAAGTAGCTGGGACTACAGGCGTGCACCCCCACGCCCGGCTAATATTTTAATTTTTCTGTAGAGATGAGATTTTTCTGACATGGCCCAGGCTGGTCTTGAACTCCTGGGCTCATGCAGTCCTCCTGCCTCAGCCTCTCAAAGTGCTGGGGTTACAGGTGTGAGCCACCATGTCTGACTCCTTTTTTTTTTTTTTTTAAATTAAACATCATTGCAAAAAAAGGCAACATGATTTGTGTCTGTATGAGAACATTTTCCTTTTGTTTCTAGTTATACCACCATTTTCCAATCAGTTATTGAAGCCTCTTTTCACCATTTGTGCTTTCTTTTCTTTCCTGCTTCTCTGTCCTTGTCCCTGGCTCTCTAGGTGGCTGTGGGAGACATTGTGAAGGTCGTCAATGGCCAGTACCTTCCAGCAGATGTGGTCCTGCTGTCCTCCAGGTCAGGTGTGCCAGCGGGCACAGTGTTTGAAATAAGCATTAAGAACAGTAAGCTATTCAATGGCGAGCGCAGATGTCTCCAGCCTGTCGCCTCCTGCCCTCTGAGTCCCCATCCCCCATCTCCATCCCATTCTCCCCTGATGCCTCATCTCCCTTCTCCTGTCTTGACCCTGGGTTTCTTTCATTCATTCCTTTGTGCTTTCTCCCCAACCCTTCAACGTTCATTGGTGCCATGGCATCTTCCAGCTATTCTGAACTATTCCTCCCATATGTGGGCACCGATCCGAGAACAGTGGAGTGGTCTGCTCAGTCCCATCAGACCACAGCACGTCTGGGCCTTCAGAACCAGTTTCCTGATGGGCCCAGGCTGGGGTCTGCCCTATGGAGCCCAGTGCAGCCTTCTAGAAGCTGTTAAAAGAGCTGCAGGCGTTTTCTCGGAGTAGACATGTCCAGCTGGTAGTGTTTGCTCTTCATGCATCCACAGGTTACCCTTTTTATGCTCCAAGTATCACTGCCATGTTCTCTGGGTGGTTTTATTCTAGAAAGTTCTCAACACTCCGTGGTCTAGGCAACAGGCAGTGCAGCCCTGGACTTTTTCCTGCCTTGATGCATAAACGTATACAACGAGGGAAGAAAGCCACAATTAGGATAAGAATAGACTTCTATTTTTGAATGCAAGATGCAATTCTAGGATGTTAGGACTATCACTTCCTGTATTTACGTGCTGCCGGGAAAGTATGATTCTCATGCTGTTTGCATTTTCTTTCATGGTAGACAGCGTTTGTTGTACTGGATTTGATCCCTCATTAGATTTTTAAGCCTGAGCATTCATTTTCTGCTCAAAATCAAGGATTTAAAAATAGGACCCAGGCCTATGGAGGGAGGAAGTCACCATGAACACGGGGCAGGATTCATGCTTGGCCCTGTTAATTTGTAAGAGAGAAACTCTTCGAAATATTCAGCTGTCGGTCACTTGACAGTTTGGGCTATGGGTCTTGGCTGGGATTGTTAGAAAACTGGGTTTTCACTTGGGATTGTCTGAGCTGACCTCAAGTTTAGGACACTCGTGACTGGTGTCTGGTGTCTGTTTGGTGTGGCCAGCCAGGACAGTATTCCGCTTAGTCTTTCCAAAAACTCTTGATGTTTTTTATACATGAGAAGCCTGAGACAGAGAGATTAAATAGCCTGCCAAGGCCCCAGAGCCCATCGAGGCAGCACCAGGGGCTTTTAACTTATTCGCCTGTGGGTTGAAGGTTCCATTATCTTATTATCTTAACCACTAACTATGCTAACTAACCTAAACCCAAAGACCAGAGGTAGAAGCATAGGATCTGATATGGTTACTTTTTTGTTGTTTTTTGAGTCAGGATCTTGCTCTGTCACCCTGGCTGGAGTGCTGTGGTGCAACCACGGCTCACTGCAGCCTCGACTTCTTGGGCTCAAGCAATCCTCCCGCCTCAGCCTCCCAAGTATCTGGAACTACAGTCACCATGTCTGGCTTGCTTTTACTCCTTTGAGTTTTCTGTCCCTGGAATTAGATGTTTTGATTTAAAAGTTTCCTTTTGAGGTCGTAAAAATTGTAGAGAAGCAAAGGCTCACCAAGTCCATGCCGGATCCCACCAGTCTTCTGGCTGTAGTTTTCTTCAAAAGATGTGTGTTTGTACCGGCTATGCCTTGGGTGGCCTTTTTGGTGGGGAGCAGAGCCAGCCCCAGACTTTAAGAATCACCCGAATCCAGTGGCCCAGCCCGAGCTGGGACACTGTGTGTTCGAATAACATGCCCCGTCCCTCCTTGGTCATCTCAGCTGACTACATGAGGCCCAGTCACCATGATGTGTGGCCTGCAAAAGGGTCATCTGGGCGAACAACCATATTGTTGTTGGCTGAAAGATGAGTGTGCATCTCCCTGTCTCATCAGTGACTTCTGCTAAAGCGATTGTTCATAGCAATTCATTTTGAAAGGCCAATCAGCAGACGTAGGTTCCATAACAGAGATCTCATGAGCTATGAATGTGTGGAGAGGACCTTACTAAACTTGCCTTTTTTTTCTCTCTCCTTAGTGAACCTCAGGCGATGTGTTACGTCGAAACAGCCAACCTAGATGGGGAGACGAACCTTAAAATACGTCAGGTAAAATCACCTCTCATGACTTGTGTTGTGATGGAGAACCTGCTTGCAAATATGGCCCCCATGTATCTTCCGGAAAAAAAAAAATGTTTAGTTGCAAAAGATTATGCTGTGGAAGAATGTGCCTTCTATGGTGTTGTAATGGAGATTCTAATTCCAGAGAGCAGTATATTAGATGCCAAACATACCTGCCTTAAATAAAGCGATTCTTAACACACACACACACACACACACACACACACACACGCACACGCACACACACATATATATGTAATTTTTTTTCTTCTTTTCCCCTCCCAAGTAGCTGGGAATATAAGCACATACTAGCACACCCAGCAAATTAAAAAATTTTTTTGTAGCGATAAGGTCTTGCTACCTTGCCCAGGCTGATCTCGAATTCCTGGGCTCAAGCAATCTTCCTGCCTTGGCCTCCCAAAGTGCTGGGATTAAAGGTGTGAGCCACCACGCCTGGCCTTACCATATCTTTTAATTCTAGAATGATGAATAGTCTTTAATATATAAAAAAAATTCAGCATTTTGGCATTTAAAATCTTTCTGCTGCAGAAAATTAAACTCAGTAATTCTATTCATATATCTTTCTTTTCTACTATAGATTTTGCTGTTGGGTTTTTTTTTCTGTTTAAAGAAGAGTTAATGAGAGTTAGTGTAAAATTTTAAAGGGATGCTTTATTCTATTTTTACAACTAGTGTCAGAGTACAGTTAATAGAGTATGCTTTCTGTGAGGTGTTTGAGTATTTTAATTATTACTTAAACATGGGTGTTTTCAGCATGATGCTGGGATCTTGGCTTTCTGCTTTATTCAATTATTTTGCTTTTTTTTTTTTTTTTTTTTGAGTTGGAGTCTCATTGTTTCCCAGGCCAGAGTGCAGTGGCATAGTCTTGGTCACAGCCTCAACCTCCTGGGCTCAGGCAATCCTTCCACCTCACCCTTCCAAGTACCTGGAACTACAGGCACGTGCCACTATGCCCAGCTAATTTTTTGATCTCTTATAGAGATGAGGTCTTGCCAAGTTGCCCAGGCTGATGGTCTCAAACCTCTGGGCTCAGGCAATCCTCTCATGCCAGCCTCCCTAAGTTCTGGGACTGCAGGTATGCCACTGAGACCGGCCTTTCTGCTACTTTTGCATTAGATTATTGTGGCAAAATCTGCAGGTAAAATCTGTTTGAGGGATTCATGGTTTGATTTGTGAGCCCTCCAAATAACTGCATTGTACACGACTCATTCCTTTCCTTTGATTAGCAATGAGGATGCTGAATGTTGTTGTCCATAAGCACAGAAGATCGTGTTCAATGTTTTCTTTTGACTCAACATTTCAGGGTTTGAGTCACACTGCTGACATGCAGACCCGGGAGGTTCTGATGAAGTTATCGGGAACTATAGAATGTGAAGGGCCCAATCGCCATCTCTACGATTTCACTGGAAACTTGAACTTAGATGGGAAAAGGTATTATTATTATTATTTTTGTCTTCATTAAAAAAAAAAAGTGACTAGGAGTTACTGGAGCTTTGAATAACACGGTTGTTTTCTAGTTATATAATTTTTTTTTTTTTTTGAGTTGGAGTCTCACTCGGTCACCCAGACTGGAGTGCAGTGGCCGCTCCCGGCCACCGCAGCCTCGCCTTCGCCTGCTGGGCTCCGGCGATCCTTCCGCCTCAACCTTCCAAGTAGCCGGAATTACAGGAGCGCGCTACCACGCCTGGTTGATTTTTTGATTTTTATTGTAGAGATGAGGTCTCGCTGCCCAGGTGGGTCTCGAACCCACGGGGCTCAGGCAGTCCACTCACCTCAGCCTCCCAAAGGCGCGGGATTACAGGCTGAGCCACCGAACCCGGCTAACATTTTTAAACAGTGAGATTTCACACCATTTCAATCAATTTAAAACTTCCCTTAAATGTAAGGAAATAACTGATTTTTGACAAGAAAAGAGCCCGAGGGCCCCAGAGGAGGTTCAAACTTGCGGCCTGGTCCCTCTGTACCTGTTTTCTGCCAGGTAGGAGAAGTGGTTTTAGTCGCCATTGTCCAGAAAAGCAGAACAGAGATGTCTGAGGTGTATAAAAGCTAATCTTCTTTTTAGATAACTGTACAATAAGTCCCCTACATATGAACCTTCAAGTTACGAACTTTAATGATACACATGTGTTTTTTAAATGTAGTATTTCTCTCCTCCAGGGGTCAGTACAGCCTGTTAAATACGTATAGTACTATATAGCCGATTGTGTTAGCTGGGTACCTAGGCTAACTTTGTTGAACTTAAAACCAGTGGGACTTACAAACCTACCCTCAGAATGGAACTTGTTCAAATGTTAGGGACTTCCCGGATATATATATATATATATTTGTTGTTGGTGTTTAGAAAGTTGAAGTATATGAACAGTTCCTCTCCCCTAGAAGATGTCAGTGCTCTATTGTCTTTGTCCTCTTGGTATGTGATATGTTGTTTGACAGTCATCTTTGGTTATGACGTTGGGGTGCCACATGCACCGCCCCCATGACCTGTTGGGCTGTCCTGTAGATTTTGAACAGATGCCCTGCCAGGTGTGGTGGCTCATATCTGTAATCTTAACATTTTGGGAGACTGAGGCGGGGGATCACTTGATTCCAGGAGTGTAAGACCAGCCTGGGCATCATAGTGAGACCTCGTCTCTACAAAAAATTAGTAAGTTAGCTGGGCATGGTGGCACACACCTGTAGGAGGCTGAGGTGGAAGGATTGCCTGAGCCCAGGAGGTCAAGGCTGCAGTGAGCCATGATTGTGCCATTGCACTCCAGCCTAGGTGATAGAGTGAGACCCTGACCCCCCCCCCAAAAAAAAAGGAAAAGAAAAAAAAGATTTTGAACAGTCCCTAAGCTTGGAAGGTCTTGATCATGGGACTCAACCCAAAATAAATATGATGACTAAGTGCAACCACTTCTCAGCTTTGTTTAGCATAGCAATTCCATAGGCTCCCTGTTTTGAATTTCTAAATGACCACTCAGGTCTTTTTTTAATCACTAAGTCATTCTTGACAAATTTGATATGATAGGTTGACTGCTTCTTTCTCCTTCCCCCCTTATAATAGTCTGTAAAATTAGTCACGTGAGCACAAGGGAGGGATCGATAGTCACTGGGCATGGCTGGGGAGGGAGGAGACCATGTGACAACACAAAGGACCTGAGTCATTCCCAGGGGGAGTGAGGGCCAGTTGGAGACGCAAATGTCACCTGCATGCAGCCTACTTGTGAAGATAATCCCCACTTGTACCCCACATCTCTATAATAAAATAAAATAAAATAAAATACAAAATATCTATAAAATTGACTGAGTTTCTTAAATAAATGAGCTTCTGGTTGTTATTTTAGAAATTTCCTTTCTGGGTGTTGAGTTTTATAACAGGATTATGAGAGACAGAATTCCCTCTAACATTGGATAGAATAAAAAAGTCTTTTCTGTAGTCATGAATGGATAAGATAAACCTTTCCTGTGGGCCTTTTTTGGGGGGGTAGATTAAGCCCATGGTAATCTTTGTTGTTCTTGTTTCTCAGTGAAATAGTTCAATACTGACTAAGGGAAACATTTGATTTATTGTGGGTTTACGTTTAAGGGGAAAGGTCATACTCATTTTCCAGACTGTCATTGAATCTAACTGTTGTTTCTTATTTTTAGCCCTGTTGCCCTTGGGCCTGACCAGATCTTATTAAGAGGAACACAGCTTAGAAACACCCAGTGGGTCTTTGGCATAGTTGTTTATACTGGACATGACACCAAACTCATGCAGGTAAAATGTTTCTGTGCTGAAAAGCAATACTGATTTGAGCCTTCTTGTTCCTTTGTTGACTAGAGGGTGAAAAATACAGATTTTGCCTTTAGGAAGCTCAGGTTTGTCTGTGAAACTAAGTTTGGGAAGGAAATGCCTTGATTTTAGTTCCTTAGGTTGTTTCTTCCGGATTTCTGTTATCTTATTAGATATTTGTAACTTTTAGCCTGAAATACAAATGCTCTTTATTTTCTAGACTTAGGGGGACATTCGGTTCTAACTTATTTTGTCCTCTGGACTTAAGGGTTTTAACTTTTAAATTTCTCTTTCTGCTTTTCCTTTTCACCCTATTCATTGGCATTTCATAGAAAATTGCTTTATTTAACTGAACTTTAGACAATTTATAATCAGTTATTGTTGGACTAATGTTTATTCTTCATATACCAAATAAAATGTACGAAATTAAAATGATTTTGCTCTTTTTCCCTGTTAATGGTTTTTAAATTATTGTTTGGGAATTTCCAGGTCATGTTTATATGATGACATATTTTGCCAGGCAGCTTTTGAACTTCCCCATGAATCAGTGTCCCTGTATATCATTGCTGACATTTTGTGGTGCAGTATCTTATTTTGCTAATGGTAGCTGTGAGTGAGAACTGGCTTTTTTTTTTTTTTTTTTTGAGTTGGAGTCTTACTCCGTTGCCCAGGCTGGATTACAATAGCACCCTCATGGCCACCCCAGCCTCGACCTGCTGGGCTCCGATGATCCTTCCCCATCACCCTTCCAAGTAACCAGAACTACTGGCACGCGCTACCATGCCAGGCTAGTTTTTGATTTATTGTAGAGAGAAGGTCTCGCCAAGTCGCCCTGGCGGGTCCCAAACCCGCGGGCTCAGGCAGTCCACCTGCCTCGGCATCCCAAAGTGCTGGGATGACAGGCTGAGCCACTGACCCAGGCCTTCTATAACTTCTAAGACACACATTTGACTGGATTTCTTGATTAGAAAATATGTAATGACCTCCGTGGACCAAGTCTGGTGCTCGGCCATCTGCGTGTGGCAGTGAAGAGCTCAATCTTCTCCTTGGGGAGCCAGGTGGGCTGAAGAGTAAGAAGAGGATAGTCACTGAAATTTGTTATAAAGTGCTGTGGGTATACAAGGGGTCCCAAAAAACCCCAGAATTATCCTTTGGATGGCGGGCCCCTTGTAATACAGGTTTCGTATTCTAGGTGAGTGATCTAGGAACCCATCGGCATCCATGGACCAGGTAGCCTTGTTGTGAGAGGTTGTACTTGGCTTCAGTGAATTTTTTTTTTTAAGATTCTTCCAACATGTTTGTCCATTTCTTAATGGGTGATTTACGAGCACATCTGACCACACTTTGCTGAGTGTTCAGCAGTTTTTGACCAAAAGCAGCATGACCCCCATGCCTCACCCTCCCTAGTTACCTGATCTCTCCCCAGTGACTTTGTTTTGTTTCCCTGGTTGGAAAAAGTCCTCAAAGGGAAATATTTTGCCGATGTGGAAGAGGTGAAACAAAAAATGTCAAAAGCACTAAAAGGCATCAAAATCGACCAGTTCAAAGCTGTTTTGAGCAGTGGAAAAAGCGTCTTAATAGGTGTATTGCATCCAACAGAGAGGTGACTGAAGTTTGAAGGTGACTGAAGTTTAAATATATAAGAATAAATACACAGTTTTTTATAAATAAATTCTGGGTATTTTGGGTGCCCCTCATACATAGGAGGGTCATCCGACCCAGGTTTGAGGTGCCAGTTCCCTAGGCAGAAGCATGTTTTAGACACTGAGTTGGAGAAGGGAGACCGTTGTGTGGATTACTCTTTGAGGTCAAATGATAGTAGGGTGAGCGAGTTTACTATTGGAAGCGATGAAGTGACAGACCCCAGCCGCCACAGCAGCTTGCATGTGTGGTGAAGTCAGGGAAGGGAGGGAGGGTCAGAAGGGTGGAGCGACTCCCTGCAGCCGAGGAGGCCGGATGGAGTTGGCAGGCAGGCAGATCAGTGTGTAGGATGCCTGTTTGCATTTCTAGGGTGGTGAGACCTGGGGTGAACCGTGGGAACAGGCGACTGAGTGCAAGCTGTGGAAGTCCATTTGATGTTAAGTGGTGAGGAGCTGAGAGGGGGAGGCATTGGATGGGTCGGTGCTTTGATTTTGGAGATGGGATCCCGGCCAGACTGAGCAGAGAGGAATGCTATGAGCTGGTGGTCAAGTCCTTGGTGAGTAAAGACAGGCAAGTGAGAGGTCGGTGGCCTCGCTGGGGGCAATGGGCAGGTGGTAGTGTAGCCAAATGAGGTGAATTTTGTGAGTAAATTTTAAACATGGCATTCAAGGACGAAAGATCCTAAAGTATTTCCAGTTCTCGAATATATGCCCAGTAACATGGCCTTTGGATGCCAAGGGGTGGGAGTCTACCTGAAGCATCTTCTGCTTGGGGGGCTTCAGGGACCACACACCCTTGACGGTGGGAGGCAGGGGTGGGAGGAGAGTGCGTGAAGGAGGGGAGGACAGAGGTAGGTTTGAGGCCTGGAAGGGTAGTAGCCAGGCGCAGTGGGCGGTTGCAGGGATCATGTTGGGGTGAGGCAGGAAGAGGGCTGCATGGCCGATGGAAACCGGAAGAGCAGGTGGATGCTGAGAAGTAGCTCTTGGAGGATCGAGATTACTTAACATATATGAGATGTGTCGCATCGGTCCCTCACGCCAGCCTGCATACGAAGACCTGATCTTGATGAATAGTTCATCTTAGCTGAGAAGGGGACCATCGTGCATGCCTGTAATCCCAGCTACTCAGGAGACTGAGATAGGAAGATCACTTGAGCCCACGAGTTCAGTTTGCAACCAGCCTGGGCAACATAGCAAGACTCCGTATCAAAAAAACAAAAGAGCTAGACGTGGTGGTTCATGCCTGTAGTCCTAGCACTTTAGGAGGCCGAGGCGGCAGGATTGCTTGAGACCAAAGGTTCGAGACCTTGTCTCTACAAAATATCAAAAGATTATCTGGGCGTGATGGCACATACCTGGAGTAGATGGTAATTCCAGCTACTCGGGAGACCGAGGCAGAAAGATTGCCTGAGCCCAGGAGCTCGAGGCTGCAGTGAGCCATGATCATGCCACTGTACTACAGCCTTGGTGATCCATGAGCGAGGCCCCAACTCACAAAAAAAAAAAGAAGATAGTTTGGTTTGTAGTAAATATCTAGTAAATATCCTGTAACTTCCACAGTCCAGTGCCAATAACCCCTGCTGGACAACTTTAGAACTCCATTAATCACAGCTCACTATGTCTGTTTGCTATTATAGAGTGGCAAAGAGATTGTGGGTGGCTCCATCCATTTTTAAAATATTTATTTCTTTTTTCAATTTTAGAGTCTGGGGGTACACATGCGTATTCATTACCTGGACATATTGTGTAGTGGTGAGGTTGGCTCTCAGGTGGTCCATTCACCACATAGTGAACACTGTGCCCCATAGATGGTTTCTGAATCCTAATTCCCCTCTGCCCTGCCGCCCTTATTGGTGTCCCCAGTGTCTATTATTACACGAGCAGACATCTCTCCAAAGAAGATACACAAATAGCCAACAAACGTGAAAAATTACTATCACTCGTCATCAAACTAAAACCACATGTTAGAATGGCTGTTATTAAAAAATCAAAAAACAATGAATGCAGGCCAGATCAATTTTGGGCAGAGCCCCGAGACAGGTTTTAAGACGGTGCCTATTACAAGAGCTTCAAGATTTCTTGAACACCATGGGTTTTTCATGCTGTGATTGTGTTTTGCTAGAGCGTACATTGGTAATACAGCTTTGTGGCCAAGACATGAGAGTTAATTAGGTTACACTTACACATGCTCCCCTCCAGTCTCTAGGGAGCACAGTGCGCACACAGTTTGCATCCATGGGGAGGGGAGGTGGTCTTCTCACCCCTCAACGTGAGAAGCCTCTTTGGAGGGCTTACTGCATGTTGACGGTAGGAGTGCAGAAAGATGGAAAACCCCAGAAATATCTGTGCTAGACCCGCTGGGCCTGCGGGGTTGAAATGACAAGTGAAAATAATGAGCCTTCCAAAGGAAAAGAACATACCCATAGCTGGAAGCCATCCTGCTTGTGAAATAACATTTTCGTCCATACTTGCACCACTTGACCACAGAGAGGAAGCGCGATTGCTTGAGGGTTCTTCTCCTGTGTTTTTACACATTTTAAGCTCTCACCTCAAAGCTTTTACCCTTCACGCTTCCCTCGGTTCATGCTTAGTGTAATGAACGTGTAGAGACATTTCAGTCTGCTCTTTCTGTTGGTTGATTTCATGGAAAGGGTAGAGAGGATCACATACCTTACAACAAACATTCATGATCGCAAAGCATGCATTGTCCTAAGTGATTCACCTGCATTAACACATTTATTCCTCATGGTGGCTAGGTTATATTATCCTTCTCATTTTATAGATGAGGAACTGGGCCACAGAGTGTCTAAGTAATCCCAGCTTGCAAACCTGGTGAGAGATAGGGGTTCAAACCCAGGCAGTCAAACTCCAGAGTCAGTGTTCTCACCAGTATCCTGTCGCCTGCTTTCTCAGGAGGGAATACAATGTGTAAAATTCAGGTCTGGCCGGGCTCGGTGGCTCAGCCTGTAATCCCAGCACTTTGGGAGGCTGAGGTGAGTGGATTGCCTGAGCCTGCGGGTTCGAGACCCACCTGGGCAACTTGGCGAGACCTCATCTCTACAATAAATCAAAAATTAGCCGGACGTGGTTGTGCATGCCTGTAGTTCCGGCTACCTGGAAGGCTGAGGCGGAAGGATCGCCAGAGCCCAGCAGGTCAAGGCTGCAGTGGCCAGGGAGCGTGCCACTGCATTCCAGTCTGGGTGACAGGGTGAGACTTCAATTCAAAAAAAAGAAAAAAAAATTCAGGTCTGACTTTGGCTTTTCCAAAATCTGACATTTTGCCATGTTACTATGTATAACTCCAGTACTCCAAAGTAGCAGAGTTCTTTGAGAATGTTGTCGAACGTGTAGCTCTGGTAGAAATCTTCCATTAAGAGTTCATCACGACAAGTAGAAATGCTTGGGAATGGAAGGGAGAAGGCAGAGCTTGGCTTCCCCCACAGGGCACAGACTGAAGCTTTGGGGTCATTCCTTTGTGTTGGATGAAAGATGGATTTTCCTAATCCTCTTAACTGACCGGAACTCAACCGCCTGAAAAGATCAGAAGCCTATAACTAATGGGGTCATAGGAATGAGGTGTATTATAATGTTTTTCCTGCCTGTGCATCCAACAAATGCTTTTTTAAAAGTGATAAGATCGTCTCTAGTCTTTCAAAGTTAAGATAAACAGTCTTGGAACTGATCTGCTGGCCTTGACGTGAGGCCAGATGTGGCTGTGTCTCCCCAGTTGACCTTGACATAGTATTTGATTGATGTAAGTTGGCAATCACTAATGGATTTCCACTTAGATTCTAGAGGGATTTTAAAAAAAGTCTGTAAAGGATGAATAACTTTGAGAGCTGAAGTGAAGAGGGAAAAAGTAGAAATAAAGGAAAATTCTGTTGGGTTGTTTAACTATCTAAAGGACTTAGCTTTTCAAAATCACCAGTACAATTCTCCAACTCCCTTTCTTCCAAGGAAAACCATGGCCATAATAGTATTTCTGAGGTTGGTGAGGGACTTCAGCTAACAATTTCAGTGGTGTCCAGGCATGAGCTTCTCTGTAGAGTTTAGGAGTGCATTACCTCCAGTTTCCATGTCAACTTCATTTCTGCGCCATTACTTTATTCGCATTCTTATTTTTGGAGACATTTTTATCCTGGATCTTTTGTTGATTAGATCAGTTTGGAATAGTGAAGGAGAGAGCCAGCTTAGGCTTGGCACCATTTTTAGGGTCAGTGAGTGCCTTACAGTCGGTTCAGATCACCTGCCCTTGGTGAATTGGTGTTGCCGCTGAAAAGTCAGAGCCTGTGATTCATGGAGGAAACTGCAGGCTGACATTCCTGGGCACGCCCTTCTCTCGCTGTCAGTTCCTACCTTCTGATTTAATCCAGGAATTATTTCCCCTCCAGGAATGGATTGTAATTTCTTTCCACCTGGCTTTCCTCTCCTCAGTGTCTCCATCCTACAGCCACATCACAGATTTCCACAGCCTTCGCGGCTTAAAACGACACAAGGCTATGATGTTGCCATAAGTCAGAAGTCTGATTGGGGTCTCACTGGACTCACACTCAAGAAATGAACAAGAAATGGGCCTCCCTCTTCTGCAGACTCTAGGACAGGGTTGTCTAGCCTGTTGACTTCCCTGGGCTGCATTGAGTAAAGAGGAATTGTCTTGGGCGGCACATACATTATATAGTTAGTGTATATACATGGTAAGATTTATTTTAAAAATTTTGTATTATAAAGTTTAGAAAAATGAGAACAGTACAAAACTGGTGGGGAATTCGATCTTGTTTTTGTAAGGCTAATCTATCAATGTCTGGTTCGATAGAAGTGGTCACCTTCTTAGTGAGTTCCCAAGGTGCTCGTCAGAAATGTTTGTTTGAATTTTGCTCCTGTGTGCTTCATAACTGAAAACAGCTGCTCACCAATGTATGCACTGCCAAAAAGTGATGTCACAAATAATGCATGATTGTGAACTTCAAAAATGGGACTATGCATGGGGACACAAAGAAAATAAGCACTAAGAAACATATGGTGTTAAAAGATTTTGCCGGGCCGCATGACTAGCTGTCCTGGGCTGCATGCAGTGGGGCTGTGGGTTGGACATGCGTAGTCTAGAGGGAAATGTGACCCTCCCCTTTTCCAGCCTCGGGAGGCTGCCTGCACACCTGCCCGGTGGTTGCCTTCCTCTATCTTCTTCAAAGCCAGCAGGGTTGCATCTCTCTGACCTTTTCTCTGTGGTCACCTCTCCCTCTGACCACAATCAGGAAAGGCTCTCCCTTTTAAGGACCCTGGTGATTAGACTGGGCCCACTTGGGTGATCCAGGATAATCTCCCCACTCAAAGACTTTAATTTAATCCCATCTGCAAAGTCCTTTATTGGCTGTATAAAATGTCATACTCACAGGGCCCAGGACTTGGGACATAGGCATCATTGGAGTGGGGAGTGGGATGCTATTTTGCTGACCCCAACTGCCTTTAGACGTTTTTTAATAAAGTGACTTCAGTCCGGGCTCGGTGGCTCAGCCTGTAACCCCGTCCCTTTGGGAGGCTGAGGTGAGTGGATTGCCTGAGCCCGCGGGTTCGAGACCCGCCTGGGCAGCGAGACCTCATCTCTACAATAAATCAAAAAAAAAAAAAAAACATCCGGGCATGGTAGCGCATGCCTGTAATTCCAGCTACTTGGAAGGCTGAAGCCGAAGGATCCTCTGAGCCCAGCAGATCGAGGCTGCGGTGGCTGGGAGCAGCCATTGCACTCCAGTCTGGGCGACAAAGTGAGACTCCAACTAAAAAAAATAAAATGTAAAATAAATAAATAAACAAACAAATATATAAATAAATAAAGTGAATTCAGGTGCGTACCTGTCTGGTTCAGATCACTCTATTGACTTTTCCACTGCGGAGAGAATCTCATCCCAGATTTTCTACCTGCACTGCAGTGAGTCTTGAATCGGCTTTGATGGACTTTCCTGAACTCACCTGTCAGTGCTGGCCTCGGCTCTAGCTAGACTGGTTTCTCCACCAGCAGCGAGATGCAGATGCTATGCCTGTGGTCAGGCTGCCTTTCTCCTTCTGTTTCTCCTTTCCTGTCTGCCCTCGAACACCACCCACGAGGCCCATCCTGGCTCTACCTGTGCATTTCTTGGTCACAGTTCTCCCAGTGAACGTTTTGTTCATCTGTTTATTTTGACACGTATTCACGTTCTGTCTTGCATTATTGATATGTATGTGTTGGTGTATGTCTTTTTTAAAATCTAATTTTGAACTACTGGAGGGAAAGTATGTACTTTTAGAACATCCCTTTATGTACTGATTGCCAAGCTGTGTTATTACTTTGAAAGGTCTCTAGATTTTTATAGAGTAGAATCCCTGAATTTCTGTTAAACTAACAGTGTTCAGAATTCTTTGAAACTGGACTTGTTCGGAACCGATTGTGTTCGAAGATTTAATCATAAGAATGAATTGCATAGAGATGGAATGTTCTTTAAGCTGGTAGAGAGTGTCTTCTTTCTTATTTACTTAAAACTAGCTGTTGAAACCTGACTTGTTTGCTCAGCCTGTAATCCCAGTACTTTGGGAGGCTGAGGCGAGTGGATTTTCAGAGCCCGCAGGTTTGAGACCCAGCACGGGTAACTTGGCGGACCACATCTCTACAGTAAATTAAAAAAAAAATTAGCTGAGCGATGGTAATGTGTGCCTGTAGTTCTGGCTACTTGGAAGGCTGAGGCGGAAGGATCGCTGGTGCCCAGCAAGTCGATGCTGGGTTGGCTATGAACATTCCACTGCACTCCAGCCTGGGCAACAGAGTGAGACTCCAACTCAAAACAAAAACAAAAACAAAAACAAAAACTAGCTGTTGACTCAGGAGCATGGCACACTTTTTAATTTAACTGATTATTGGGCAAAAATAAAAAGTCTTCTACTTGTCAGTTGTTAAATGTGGTTGTCTCACCTCCCTTTCTCCCCCACCCTCACCCCCAAGTGTGTTCCATGAACCTCACTGACTTTACATGCTGTCGTACAGAACTCAACCAAAGCGCCTCTCAAAAGATCGAACGTCGAGAAGGTGACCAACGTGCAGATCCTGGTGTTGTTTGGAATCCTTCTGGTCATGGCCTTGGTGAGCTCGGTGGGGGCCTTGTATTGGAACAGGTCCCAAGGTGGAAAGAACTGGTACATCAAGAAGATGGGTGAGTATCGAGTGGGTTGCTGGCAGACGTGACTCATAGGAATCTTTGCCAGGTCCTTCCAAGCACGGTCCTGTGCAGTAGCCCTGCTGTCCCTCCCCTGCTGTCTTTGGATACTATACATAATGCCAGGCTTTTGAGGAGAATTCAGAGATTAGGATCATGTGACAAAGTCAAGATGGGCACAATTGAAGGCTATTTTATACTCACATAATTACTTTATAAACTGTTTTTAAAAGATATTTTCTTGGAGGCTGCTCTAGGGATTCTAATGTCCATCTTAAATATCCAAATCTCCTTCAGATGGAGACTAACTTAATTCCAAATACAGAAATATCACTCCGGTGTGATTCCGTTTCCTCTCTTGCTTTGAGCTATTGTTGTTATGTATAGTACATTGATCTATGTTATCAGCCCAACAATACAATGTTGTAATTATTGCTAAAGGAAAAAAGAAAAAAAAAAAAACAGATTGAGAAAGCTGTTTTCTATTAACTTATTCACTGTGTTCCAGGACCTGTCACTCCTTCCTATGAATTTCAGCCACCAGCTTTTGTCATTTCTCTGCTTCATGTACCTTCATTCTCTCTTTGCTTCTTGGCACTGTTAGCTAAGTTACAGCTGTGTATAAGCCCAACAATGCAATTTTTTAAATTTAGTTTTTTAATTTTAATTTTAATTTTTTGAGCCTCACTCTGTCCTCCAGGCCGGAGCGCAGTGGCACACTCACAGTCACTGCAACTTCAACCTGCTGGGCTCAGGCAATTCTTCTACCTCAGCCTTCCAAGTAGCTGGAACTACAAGTGTGCGCCACCACACCTGACTAATTTTTCTTGATTTATTGTAGGGACGAGGTCTCGCCAAGTTGCTCAGGGTAGTCTCGAACCCTTGGACTTGGACAATCCTCCCGCCTGCCACCTCCCAAAGTGCTGGGATTACAGGTGTGAGCCACTGCACCTGGTCTGTTTATTTTTATTTTTTGAGTCGAGGTCTCACTCTGTCACCCAGGCCAGAGTGCAGTGGCACAATCATGGTTCACCACAACTTCAACCTCCTCGGCTCAGGTGATCTTCCCATCTCAGCCTCCGGAGTAACTGAGACTACAGACGTGTGCCACTACACCTGGCTAATTTTTTGATTTTTTTGGAGAGACAAGGTCTTGCTGTGTTCCTTAGGCTGGTCTTGAACACTTGGACTCAAGCAGTCCTTCTGCCTCAGCCTCCCAAAGTACTGTGATTGCAGACATGCACCACCATACCTGGCCTCAATAATGCAGTTTTATAGTGAATGTTTGCAAAAGCTTTAAAAAAAATCAAGAAGAAAAGAAAGGATTAAAATATGTAATTGTACTGTCTTTTATAAAAACCCATATAATTATTTTTGCTAGTACCTTTCATTTCTTTTCTTTTTTTTTTTTTTGGAAGTAGAATTTATTGAGAGGACAGAACAGGTCCCACAGTGGAGGGGACCCGAGAGGGTTGCCCCCTTCATTTCTTTATGTGGATTTTAATTACTGTCTGACATCACTTCTCTCATCCTAGATAACTTCCTTTAGTATTTATTGTATTTCTTAAGTGGCAGATAGATGTTTATTTCTCAACAAACATGACACATTAGAGACATCTGTAAGTACTGGGACTTTGAGATGCTATTTAGCAGCTTCTTCATTCTATAGGAGAACAACGTAGCCAAGCGATATGTCAGGAAGAACAGTAGAGGGAACCATGGGAGTCTTGGCAGTGAGTAGAAATGAGATGGTGGTGGAGAGGTGAGACCACCGACCAGCCTGTGCCCACGGATCCCTGTTCTCTTCCAGAACCTTGGCTTTCCATCACAGCCACCCTCCAGAACTCTAAACTGGAGTCTAACGATCACAGTTTGACTTACTTTCCAGGGGAAAAACTTAGTAATGACGGCCTGGATCCATTTCAGCTTCCTGATCTCCAATCCTAGACTTCTGCTGTCTTTAGTCTGATTCTATTTCCCTTCATAGCCATCTTTACAAGGTCTGACAGTTAGGTCTGTGAACCATCCTAGAAAAAGTGCTCCAGGCCTCACTGCTGAATATCACTATGGTCACCTTTGAAGTCCTCCCCTCGAGATACTGTGCACCGACTCCAGTGCCAAGTCCACCTGTCAGAGCCATTTTGGAACTCTTTCTGGAATGACCATCAGAGCTGTTATTGTATTACCCGTGATGTCCGGAATGTCACCCGAATGTCTTCCTTTCAATATTTCCTTTCTCTTCTGGTAAAGAAAAAAGAAGTCATTGAGTCCAGGTCAGGTGAGGAGGGAGAGTGTTCCAGTACAGTTATTTGTTTACTGGCTAAAAACTCCCTCACAGACAGTGCTGGGTGAGCTGGTGCATTGTCATGATACAAGAGCTCCTTCGGAACTGTTTTACGCATGCCTTTCTCATGCCAAGATTTTCAGTTAAGATTTTCCTGTCTCTCTATTGATACTTATTTGTTCTGCTGTGCTTCTCACAGTCAGCCGGTGGTTTTGACACAATCTGACAAATTTTTGCAATGTTTTCATCAGTTCTGTTCGTTACAGGCCATACTGACCTTACTTCATAGTGACACTTTCTCTCCCCTCAGAAAAACGTTTAATCCATGTGTACACTGCCATTTTCTTCATGGCATTATCCCCATAAACTTGGACTAACATGTCCCTGATTTCACTTCCACTCTTGCCAAGTATAACAAGAGTGTTCGTTGTTCGTTGCTGTAATTCAAACTCTGACATTCTTGCGATGATGGCTCTGATGGCCATTCCAGAAAAAGAGTTCCAAAGTTGATTTGAAGGGTGGACTAGGTGCTGGCATTGGTGCATAGCTTCCCAAGGGGAGGACTTCAAAGGTGACCATAGTGATACTCAGCAGTGAAGTGTGGAGCACTTTTTCTAGGATGGTTCATGTACTACTAGGTGTCAGGCCTTGTACTACTACTTAAACCCTTAGCCTGTTGGGACCCTCTTCTAAACCCTCTGGCAGAGTGAAGATGCTCTCACTACTTTCTCCTTCAAGCAAGATTTGATGGTCATCAAGGAAAGAACGTCCCTTTGACACCCCTAGACCTTGTACCCGTTTCCCATCTCCTGCTCTCTCTTCCTGTTGGAGCAGATCCTGCCTCTGCTTTGGAATCCATCCCAGAGGGTCTTGTTTCTTCCTTGGGAGTCTTGTCCCATCAAGATATTTCTTCTTTTCCCTTTCATTAGTCTCAAGGTTTTTCTCTCTTTATCTGCTTCTCTCGCTCCCACTTTTTCCATTTTACCAACTCCTTGGGATATCCTGGATATACTTAGGTCTCAGTGAGGCTGTAGATGTCCCTTACACCACCTCAAATGCCTGACCTCGTTTTTGCAGTCTTGTAAGTGAGCTGTTTTTTCTCTGCTCTTCAAAACTTGACTCAAGCGTTTCTTTTTCCGAGTGGCCTTCAGTGTCCATGGTTTCCCACGACAAATCCTTCTGCATTGGTTCCTGCAGTGTTCTGGGAACATTGTCCTTTAATAGATGTGTCCTGCTGCCCGGTCGCATTGCAGACACGCCTGCCCCTGCTCACTCCCCTGCTCCCTACCTCCTAGAGAAACCAGCTCTGGTGTCCACAGTGCCTGGTGCCTAGAAGGTTCTCAGCAACAACTAGTTTAACTTGAATCTCTAAATAAGCCAGTAGACTTGTGTTGCGAACATCTTTTAGAAAAATCCAAAATAGTCAAGAGAAACTGGACGGAGACTGTAACTCAAGATGTCCTGATGTTCTTCCACAGACACGAGCTCGGATAACTTTGGATACAACCTGTTGACGTTCATTATCCTATACAACAACCTTATTCCCATCAGTCTGTTGGTGACTCTGGAGGTTGTGAAATACACTCAAGCCCTTTTCATCAACTGGGTGAGTGTTAAATCAGAGTTTAGTCCCTGTTTTCTGAAACTGTCTCAGAATCTTCAGCATTCGCTGAAGAAAAGAAAGAATACAAGGAGAACCCCCCCAAAACCCTGGAATTTATTTATTAAATTATGTGTTTATTCTCACACATTTAAACATCAGTCACCTTCAAAGTACTCTGTTTAAAGCGATACACCTATCAAAGTGTTTTTTCCACAGCTCAGAACAGTTTTGAACTCATCCTTTTTTTATGCCTTTTAGTGCTTCTGCCATTTTTTTATGTCTTCCACATCGGCAAAATATTTCCCTTTGAGGAATTTTTTTCATCCCGAGAAACAAAAAAAAAGTCTCTTGGGGTGAGATCAGGTGAACAGGGAGGGTGGAGCATGGAGGTCATGCTCTTTTTGGTCAAAAACTGCTGAACACTCAGCATGGTGTAGGTGTGCTTGTAAATTTCATCATGAAATGGGCAAAGGTGTTGAAAGAATCTACAAAAAAAAAAATCACTGAAACTGAACACAGCCTCTCACAACAACGCTAGCTGGTCCACTGATGCCGATGGGTTCCTAAAACACTTACCCCCAAGGGGTCTGCCCTCCAAAAAGATCATTCCAGATTCTTTGGGGTGCACCTCTTGAATTCATTTACCCCTGGGTTCAGGGGTTTAAATTGGCCAAACAAAGCGATGGTCACAGATCACCAAGGAGGTGTCCCGGGGAAATGGAGAGGATGATGGTACCGTTCTGTGAAGGCGAAGTAACAGAGGCTGGGAGGCACAGCAGGTGCTCGGCATCTGGCTGTCCCTGCTGTTGATGCCGTTAAAGTCTAACTGGTGCTGACGAAAAGGCCTCTTGGGTGTGTTTCATTATACGTAACAATTCACCATGACAATGAACTTGGACTTGATTGGAAGGGCGGAGGTGGGATTTTTAAAGGACTGCCATGGCCCTGAAGAACTAAACTTTGGCACCCAGTATTTGCAGACCAGGTACTTTTATGTGCAATTTTAATCAATCTTCACAGCAATCCTGTGAACGGGGTATTAACCAAGCTCAGATTCACACGTTAGTCTAAGTCATGAAATGATATCTTGAAACCAAATCTTTTGTATATTGCTACTCTGTTTTCCTCTTGAATCACAAGGGCTTCTCTATCCTAATAGCCAGTATATTTTCACCCCAAAATTTTAAACGTGCATTTCTATTAAAATGGAAGGGTTTTAAGTTACTTGTCCTTGGCTTCTTTTCTATGTTAATCTGGATGACGGGTTAATGGTATATATTTTCTGAAATGTCTCTCTCTCTTTCAGGACACAGATATGTATTATATAGGAAATGACACGCCTGCAATGGCCAGGACGTCAAACCTTAATGAAGAGCTTGGGCAGGTGAGAGCCTCTTTGGAAACATGAGCATCCGGGCACATGGGTGCTAGCAGAAGAACTGTGGAACAATCTTGCAAAAATACTCCTCCACAAATGTGGTTATGGTGTCTCACGAGCTATTTAGTATTTGGAAGTGTTAACTGAGTACAAATGTCACTTGGTTTTGGCTTGCTGTTTGAGACAGAGCTATTTCTTACCACCTGGATGTTATCTGCAAAAAAATATAGCACAACAATGGAGTATAAAAAATATAGTGCGACACAGCTTTTAAAAAGGATTTATCAAGAGCAAATGACAGAGGAAACAATGGTTGAGACACTCAGATATTGGGCATCCCTGCAAAAAAGGTGGGACTAATTTGAAGGACATGTATCCTTCAAATAGTCCAGATTTCTGGAATATTCTAGGGAACCAGTGTCTTTCTCACCTTCACCTCTGAACTCCTCCTGCCTTTCCTGGGATGTAACCTCTTTTGACCACATTGTAGTTTAATATTATGATTTCATGTTAGACATCTTATTTAAGCCTCTCAACAGCCCTGTGAGGTGAGTGCTATGTCTTCGTCTTGTAGACAAGGAGATGAGTAACTTACCCATGGACACCTGCTTAGGGAATGACAGTTTGGGACATCAGATCATCTGTCTAAATCTGGCGTTCCCAGGCTTCCCTGACCAGCGTCGGAATGTTCCCTAGGCTCATGTCCCCCTGTCCTCAGTGTCAGTCTGTGAAGATGCAGGTGACATGTTTCATTCATCTGAGGGTAAGAAAAACTCTCATAGACAGCGGGATCATGTCTCTGTGAATATATTTTTTTAATTAGTGGTGGCATGCGCCTGTAATCTCGGGAGGCTGAGGTGGGAGGATCACTTAAGCCCTGGAGTTTGAGGATGCGGGGAGCCGTGATTGTGCCACTGCTCCCCAGCCCGAGTGAGAGTGAGGCTCTGTCTTGAAGCACAAAACATTGTTGAGACGCCTTGTGACAGGACTAACTGCTTACCCTTATGGATCCAGGACGGAGCCAGGGCTGTGGCTCCCTGCACTTCTGAAGAATTACTTATGGAAAAGGTTTGCAAGTGGTCAAAGCACTGAAGTATATTTTTTGTTACTAATTTGTTTGCCTTGTAGAAATCTACCCATTTAAATGTTTGGTGGGTTTTGAGAAATGTAGAAGGAAAGACTTCATTTATTGGTCTTTGCATCTTACTACATTTGCGATGTATATTTCTTTTATTCTTGGATTTAGGTAAAATATCTATTTCCTGTCACATTGTGATGTATGTTTCTTTTGTTTTTTGATTTAGGTAAAATATCTATTTTTCCAACATTCGTGATGTATGTTTCTTTTGTTCTCGGATTTAGGCAAAGTATCTACTTTTCCGACACATTTTTTATGTATATTTCTTTTGTTTTTTGATTTAGGTAAAATATCTATTTTCTGACAAGACTGGGACTCTAACGTGCAATATCATGAATTTCAAGAAGTGTAGCATTGCCGGAGTGACCTATGGGTGAGTGTGTTTCATTTTTTTGGGCATTTACTTGAATTCTTTCAACAAAATAAATTTATTTTTAGCTGCTTGGTTTTCTGATGTTTGGAAAGGATATTTATGATGGATTTAGGTATACTGTTAGTAACGAATGCGTTTGAAACAGAATTGGTCCCAAACTTCCAACTGTTAAAACTTAATTCATATCTGTAAATATGAGCTTAGTGAGCAGTCCCAGGGCATCTGTACGTTTGTATATCTCATGTCATAATTGTAAATTTCTTACTCATGCTTTGATCAGAATGTCTGTCTTTGGATCACAGTTGGTGACCAATCTGTTTTCCCTTTCTCCGGCAGTCATTTCCCAGAACTGACAAGAGAGCCATCTTCAGATGACTTCTGGTAAGAAGATTCTAGACTTCTTGGCACTTCAGTGGAAAGGGCTTTAGAATAATTGTGTTTCAGCATTTCTCAACTTTTTTTTTAAAATCAGGGTCTCATTTTGTCAATCAGGTTGGGGTGCAGTGGCACAATTACGGCTCATGGCAGCCTTGATGTTCTGAGCTCAGGTGATCTTCCTGCCTTAGCTTCCTGAGTAGCTGGGGCTACAGTGCACACCACCACACCTGGCTGGTTTAAAATTTTTTTTTTTGTAGACATGGGGTCTCATATGTTACCCAGACTGGTCTTGGGGAACTCTGGGCTCAAGCAATCCTCCCATCTTAGCCTCCCAAAGTGCTGGGATTACAGGTGTGAGTCACTGCACCTGACCCTCACTGTTATGTTTTTATATGTAAGTAAAAATTGCATATATATGCTATTTTGAAAGAGAACTGGAGTAAAATTTAAAGATGAACATGGTTTTAAAATTCCAGGGATACTACAGCATCTTTAACAAGAAATAGACTGCCCTTGGTCCAGTCCTTTCCACTTATTCCCCATTCCTTGGAGGCAGCCAACTTCATCATTTTTACTTTCAAAAAAATTTATTTTTATATTTCAAAGTAATATATTTATATTAATTTTTATGTAGGTAATCAGGCTGCTAGACTTTTTTTTTTTTTTGCCTTGGGCAAACAATTTTTAACGCATTCTACACGGATACTCAAAACGTTCCCATAAGGTGAAGCCCATGACAGTGACCTGATTGATAACAGATGCTTGTATGAGTCTTTTTTCCTTTCCTGTTTTTCTCTTCTCAGATACCCATTCATTTTAATTCCTACGCAGAATAAACGATATGTACATAAACTCTTATCCAAGGCTTTGCTTTGTGGCAAGAACCCACATAAAGACAATCTACTAACTTGCCTGTGGTGTTTTTCATTGAACAGAAATCCTTTTTCTTTTTATCATTATTTTTTTAGATTTTCTAAAATGTAGGGGTTAGCTCCTCTGAGACTGTGTGTGGCTCTCCACCGCCCTTCTACTCCCTTGGGAAACACTTAAGGTTTTCTGACTATCCTTAGCGTTTCCTCTAGGAGTTTTGGGGTGGGCTTGGACTTATTCATTATTTGGAGCGTTGAATGGACCCCTCGTGGCCATTTCCTCTTGCAAATTTTCTCTTACGAATACTTGGGGATGTGCTCGTATTGTTTCTGTGACCATCTTCTTTCCCTCTAGCCTTTCCTCTGTGGATCTTCTGTTAGATACTGAATCTCTTGGGGGGGGGGTTCTCCGATTTTGTGATCTTTCTCTCCCATCATACTTATTTTGTTGGTTTCCTCTTTTGGTTTTTACTTATTTATTTTTTTCACCTTGTTCTTCTGTCCTTCATAGCAAAGTTTTCATGGGATCTCAAAGGGTTTTCCAAAGGGTTCTTTCTCCCCAACTGGCCCGGGTACTCCCTGTTTTCTCTGCTCCCTTCAACCTCCCCCCTCTCCCCCTGGTGTTTTGGTGTCTTAATCTTATTTTATAGTGTTCTACAAGGACCTGGTGATCATGAACTGTGTACTCATCTACTTTTATTATTTTTTATTGTGTAAAATACATCTAACACGGTTTATCATTTTAGCGGTTTCAGTGTACCGTTCCGTTGCATTAAACGTCTTTATAATGTTTGGCATCCATCAGCACTATTCATTTCTAGAACTTCTTCATCTGAAACTTTCTAGCTATTAAACATGAATTCCTCACTTCCCCTGCCTCCAGCCCCTAGTAATCACCATGCTACTTTCTGTCTTCCCGACTTTGCCTATTCTGGGTAACTGATGTCTCTGGAAACATAGTATTTGTCTTTCTGAGTTTTGTTGATTTTCCTTGGCTTATTTCCCTATCATAGAATGTGTCAGAATTACTTTCCTTTTAAAGGCTGAATAATACTCCATTGCATGTGCAGACCACATTCTGTGTCTCTACTCGTCCATAGATGTACACTCGGGTCTCTTCCACCTTTTGGCTGCTCTGGGTAATGCTGTGAACATGGGCACACAGGTGTCTGTTTCAGTCCCTGCTTTTAGTTCTTGGGAGTGTATGTCCCAAAGGGGAATTACTTACTGAATCATATAGCAATTCTATGTTGAGCTTTCTGAGGAACCCCATGCTGGTTTCTAAGGCAGCGCCACCGTGTTATGTTCCTGCCAGTAATGCACAAGGCTTTCTCATTCCCCCCACATTCTTGCCAACACTTGGCATTTTCTGTTTTGTTTGTTTTATACTGGGCATCCTTATGAGTGTGAAGTGGTAACTCATTGTGGTTTTGACTTCCAATTCGCTTATGATTAGCGATGTTGTCTGTACATATTTTAAGGTTTTTACTGCCACAAACCTCGTGTACCTCACAGGTATTGCATGTATCTCACAGGAACCTCATGTTGTTCAGTGGTGGCTTGTACAGCCATTTCCTCAGCCTTCACAGGGCTCTTTTGTGGGCATTGACTTGCCTTGTAGTTGCTCCCTTACAAGCTGTTGGTTGCTGTTTCTCTGCTGTGCTTCACTCTGATATGTATTCAGAGGGGGCACTGACATGAACTCTGCTGTCATCTCTTCATTTATCGTCTTGGTCTCGAAGAAGAGGTTTCAGAAGGGAGTGCAGACACATGAGTATGTAGTTGGCCCTTCCTATTTCCTTCAGTTGACAGCTTCAGCCATCTCTCAAGTTTCCTTTTTCATAACTATGAGGCGCCTTCTCTTTCCTACATATGAGTTCCTGCCTTAAATGTCTGCATATGTGCAATGCAGTGGCTCTTCTTGTTTGCCTGCTCTGAGCAGACACCCTTGGAAGCGTTCCCTGGTGGAAGTTATGCAAGGGCCAACTGAAATGACAGTCATGACATTGATCCTTGGTGACTGTTCCTTCTCTTTGTAACTATGCAGTTGGTTTTTTTTTTTTTTTTTTGAGTTGGAGTCTCACTCTGTCACCCAGACTGGAGTGCAGTGGCCGCTCCCGGCCACCGCAGCCTCGACCTGCTGGGCTCCAGCGATCCTTCCGCCTCAGCCTTCCAAGTAGTCAGAACTACAGGCACGCGCCACCACACCCGGCTAATTTTTTGATTTATTGTAAAGATGAGGTCTCGCCAAGTTGCCCAGGCGGGTCTCGAACCCGTGGGCTCAGGCAATCCACTCACCTCAGCCTCCCAAAGCGTGGAATTACAGGCTGAGCCACCGAATCCAGCTTATGCAGTTGTTTATAATAACTTACATTTTATTTAGAGTAAGGCCAAGGCCTTACTGTTTTGTTTTTTGAAATAATATTCCAAATCTTTAAAAATTTAGTGTAAATATAGGATTTTAGGTGAGGTTCTTCCTGAAGGCAGATTCTTTCCAGAGTTGGGCTCTTTTTTTTTTTTTTAACTTTTAACTTTTTTATTTTAAAATTGTGGGGTACAATTCAGAGTTAGGTATACAAATATTCATTGTGCAGGCTCCCTTGTTGATGAGGTGTACCCCCCTTCCCCAGCAGATTCCCACTACTGCCAATCCCACCTCCCCGTAGCCACCCTCTGCAGTTTCCCACTACTGTCAACCCTTTTCTTATAGTATTACGATAGTTGTTCAAGGTCCACTTATGAGTGAGAACATGTGATACTCAGTTCTTTGTTTCTGTGAAAGATCACTCAGTATTATAGACTCTAAGTCCATCCAGGTTGCTGTGAAGTTCATGATTTTGTTCTTCTTTATGACTGCGTAATATTCCATTGTGTATAGGTAAGAGTTGGGCTCTCTTAACAGGAACTTGGGAACTGACTAAATATCATCTGTTCTGTCTTATAGTCGGATGCCTCCTCCCCCTAGTGACTCATGTGACTTTGATGACCCTCGGCTGCTGAAGAACATTGAGGATCACCATGTAAGTTCTCCATTTTACATCGAAGACATCAAATAGCCTATGCACGCACGCGCACACACACACACAGTCTTGAAAGTTATAATTTTGGAGCCTGAGAAGAGGGTGTGGTATCAGTCTTACGGCATTAGTACTTCTGAGAAGTGATCTTACTCAAGTGCTTTGTGGTTAACAGTGTGCATAAATTAGTATAAAGCTGACTTTGAATCCACGGTGACTTTGTCAGCTTGCACACCACGAGCAAGACGAGTCTTCCAGTAGGGTTCTGCCACGTTCCAATTTCTTTACTTTTTGAAGATTTCGACAGAACTCTTTCTACACAGTTGTTAATCTGAGAGGTTATGTGCTTTGAAAAGTAATTGCATCTCTTTGACTAGGATCATTTAGGAAACAGCAGTAAGATGTATATAATAGCAGGTAGCATGTATCGCATTCTGCTATGTGTGAGATAATTAGTATATACGAGGGGAACCCCAAAAAGGGAATTTATTTATAAAACATTGTATATTGATTCTCACATGTTTAAACTTCAGTCACTTTCCAAGTACTGTCCATTTGACACACGGCACCTATCAAGACGCTTTTTCCTTGGCTAACAACGGGTTCTGAACTCGTCCAATTTGATGCCTTTTAGTGCTTCTGATGTATTTGTTTCATCTCTTCCACATGGACAAAACGTTCCCCTTTGAGGACTTTTTTCATCTGGGGAAACAATAAAAGAAGTCACATGAGGCAAATGGGTTGTAGAGGGAGGGTGAGGCATGGGAGCCGTGCCATTCTTGTTCAGAAACTGCTGAACACTCAGTGTGACGTGGGCAGGTGTGTTTTCATGATAGAAGAACCAGTCACCTGTCTGCCACAACTTGGAATGCCTCTTCTGTAAATCATGACTCAACCCTCTCAAAACTTCCAGACAAAAACTTTGGTTAACTGCTTGATCTGGAAGCACAACCCAAGTGTACTACAAGAGGTCCACCCTCCAAAAGATAATTCTGGTTTTTTGGGGGTCTCCTCTCATATTTTCTTTAACATGTGACTCATCCCTGGCAGGTGACAAGGAAGTTGTGTAGAAAATTTAAAGGCTTCTCTGAAAAGTGCCAACTTAGAAAATTACTCAATAGTCAAAGCATTTCACAAGCAGTTTGGTGAGCACAGATTAAATATAATATGATCCATTTTTTTCTGGCAAAAATTTTTAGATTTAAAGTTAGGCAAACATGAGCAACAATAAAATGAATTTTTTCCAAATTTTTATTGAGATAGATCTATTTGAACATATAGATAGATAGATATTTTAAAAGTTTACATTTTCAGTGAGGAAACCCCCCTTTCCCTGATTGTAGTTAGTACACATTTATTAATGCTGAAACCTTCCCAACAGAGGTCCTGAGATGTGCGTGTGTCAGGCACCTCCCTCACAGGCCATGGTGTCACTTTTCTGATTTGCTGGGTGGTGAGGCGGGTGCAGTGGTCTGAGACCCCACAGAGGACACTGCTGAATCCCACGCTCTGTCTCCGTCTAGACACAAAAAGGTCCTTTCGTGGATTTGGGTCTTTGACGTAGACCCAGCTGCTAGGCCAGAGGTTCTCCAAGCCGAAGAGAGGTGCCTCCAGAGCATCTCTGCAGGAGTGTGGTTTTTTTGTTTGTTTGTTTGTTTTTGAGTTGGAGTCTCACTCTGTCGCCCAGGCTGGAGTGCAGTGGGCTAGTTTTTTTGATTTATCGTAGAGATGAGGTCTCGCTACCCAGGCGGGTCTCGAACCCGCGGGCTCAGGCAATCCACTCACCTCAGCCTCCCAAAGGCGCGGGATTACAGGCTGAGCCACCCAGCCCGGCTAGGAGGGTGGTTTTCATCAAGGCTGCCCCCCCATGCTGCTCTTATTTCCTGTGTGACATGTTCACCTTTGGGTCTGTGCTAGGAAAGCGAACTTGGGGAACTAGACCAAGGGCTGTTCCCTAGGTTGCTGCCGCTGCTGCCTCATCCTCTTCCTCTTATTCTTCCTCCTCCTCCTCTCCCTCCTCTCCCTCATCCTCTTCCTCCTCTTCCTCTTCTCCTCCTTTCCCTCCTTCTTCTTCTCCTCCTACTCTTCTTATTTTTCATCTTCTTCCTTGTCTTCTTCCTCCCCCTCCTCCTTCTTCGACTCACTTTCTTGCCCAGGCTGGAGTGCAGGGTCATAATCACAGCCACTGCAGCCTCGACCCGCTGGGCTCAGGCTTCCACCTCTGCCTTCCATGTAACCGGAGTCACAGGCATGTGCCATCATGCCCAGTTAATTGTTTCATTTTTTTTTTTTTTTTTTGGTAAAGATGAGTTCTCACCAAGTTGCCCAGGCTAGTTTTGAACCCCTGGGCTCAGGCAATCCTCTCTCCTTGGCCTCCCAAAGTGCTGGCTTCCAGTCATGAGCCCACCACGCCCAGCTTCAGTTCCTTAAGCTTCTTGTTTCCTTGTTGCCATTTTCATGTTTCCTGCACCTGACCAACTTGAACAGACACATTCATTCGCCCCCTCCTACAGAGTTACCTTCAAGCTGAATGCTGTTTGAAAACATTGTTTCCTCTTTGAAAGCAATTCCTCACAGAGCCCTTGTTCCTTTGACATCTTTGATGAAAACCACCATCATTTGGAGAAGAGAGCCTCTGGGCACTCCGTACAGGCTGCTGGGATCCCAGTTTTTGGAACTTGTCAATACAAGTACAGAGTTTGTGAATCACACAGGACAGGCATTTTCTCCAGTTCTGGCCCTATTGGTGTGTGGGGGTCTCTACGGGGCTTTGGGGTTTTGATCGTCCACGCTGTGCTCTTCTTGAGTCTGTACTCTGTTGACATTGGAGTCGATGTCTGAGCACAGCTGGTGTCCCTCCTTTTACCCACTGCATTCTCCTGACTCCTCCTTGGTGGCCATGGAATGACAAGCCTTTTAGGAAGAAACCCTATGGTTTAGAGAAGATCATGGTCGTTGTTCTTCCTTTCCGCTTCCCCTTCTTCCCTCCTGAGCCAAATCTTCTTTTGTTTTAGAGGGCAGGCCAGTGAGAGTAGGGGCAGGGGCAGCCCAGGGAAAAGGAAGCCCTAAGGAGAAGATATGATGACCATTGAGTGCTCAGGGGCCTTGAGGGGAATTGAACGATCTGAATAATCACAGCTTTAGTAAAAACAGAATGAGACCTCTTATTTGGGAAGTTATTTTCTGTAAAAAGCCTCCTGGCCAATGTGAACCATTTTTAAAGTTTCCTTGGCTCCTTGAAGCCTTCTGAGATGTTCTTCATCATGGTTACTGCGTTCATTAGGCCTTTGGGCACCTATACTACCTCCGCTGTAAATCACGAAGACCATAGGCTCTGATATTTCTCTTTGAGAAGATGGGAGATTGGATTAAAAGTACCCAATGGATAGTTTGAAGCAGTGTGAAGACAGAGCCTGTTGGATCTGCCTCAAATTCATAGCCAGTTGCCTATTTAAGAGGACACATTAAAGACACTGGCATTAAAATAACTCCCTTCAGGACAAGGAAGCCTGTTCCCAGTTGGGCCTTTGATATCATTCCCGAAGTGCTACCCTGTGTAGACAGGTGAGAAGTGAACACGTGCATAAATATTGGAAGGAAGAGGGAAGTCTTACCATTTGTGGTAAGTGTTCATTTGCCAGAATGTGTTTGGGGAGAGGAAAGAAGCATTTGAGGATTTCAGGCTACGTACGGGTGTTCCGCATTTTCATCTAAACTGCTCTTGGGACCATTGACTAAAATGAAAGCATTTGACCCAAAAAAACCCTTGCTTTCTACTCCAGGGAATACTGCTTCCATCTGCTGCAGAATTTTCCTTTTTCTTGGGTCATCAATTCTGGCTTTCTGGGTCCTTTAGGACTGTCTTAAGCTTTGTGTGGGCTGATGGCCAAGATGGAATTTGACTGTTACTTAGAGAATCAACCTATGGGAAATCTCAGAGGACAAGCCATGTGATCCTTTGCTAACCAGCGACTTCCTATGTGGAGGATCAGTTTTCAAAGATTCACCAAGGAAGATGACATCCCTTTCTTTTGAATCATGCCTAGGACTTTGGAGCTCAGTACATTATTATAGCAAACACATAGTGACGTCCTTAATGTGAACAATGTAAGTCTATCTCAAATGTGTAGCCAATTGCCTATTTAAAAGGACGCATTAAAGACATTGGGATTAAAATAACCCCTTTGTAGCTGCAAGTTGGCATGCAAAACAATTTTAGATATGCGTTATTTCCCGTTTTTTTAAGTTCATCAAATAAAAAGAAAATATTCATTTTTAGGTATATAGCATTTGGGGTATATTAAAAGCTCTTATGAGCTACTTAGACTAGGCAAATTCATGGAGACAGAAAACAGAATAGACGTTATTAGGGGTAGATGAAAGAGAGAAGGAGGAGTCATTGTTTAATAAGTTCAGATTTCCTGCTGGGGAGGAGGAAGTTTTGAGTATAGACAGTGGTGACAGGTAGACAGCATTGTGAATATATTTAATGCTACCGAATCATACATTTAGAGATGGCTAAAATGATAAATATTACATGCATATTTTACCACACTAAAAAACCTTTAACTGCTAATATATACGGTTGCCAAAAAATGTATACACACTTTAAGTATGACGTTTGCAAATGTATATACTTTTTCTTGGCAACGTGTGTGTGTGTGTGTATTCCTACATGCATACAATTATCCATAGACTTCAGACTTAATTTTTTCTTCCTCTCCTAATATACTACAGAATGCCAAGTTAGGGAGATTAATTTTGTTTTAGAAATTGTTTTTTCCTTATAACTTTTGTCTGGCTTACCACTCAAGGCAAAAGTTCAAGGTGAATGTGTGTGCTGCTCTTCTTTTTAACTTTCAAAAAATATTTCACTCTTAGGCTTATTGATTTGCTATAAAGTCAAAGGCCTCTGTGGGACCAAGTTCTGCTCAGGCCTGGAGGATTCTTAGATGCAGGATGAGGGCATCTAGCATGGACACTCAGGTCTCATGTGGAAGCACCCGGGGGCAGAATTTCTTCCCATTTTCAGAATGTAGGCCTTGAGGGATTTGTACATTCTCTAAGCTCACTTATTTGACTTCACTGAACTATAATGAATGTGCATTTTCTTTTCAATTAGTCTGATGAGAAGTAGCCATGTGAACAGTTGTGACTTTCTTCATAAAATTCCTCTTAAGTCACAGTGACAGGTCAGAGAAACAAACCACAAACACTTTTGTGGATGTCATCATCCATTTATTACTGGAAAAGAAATCTCCATGAAAATAGCAAGCACATAGCTACTTCCTTATTGCAAAAATATAAATCTATCTCAAATTCTTAGCCAGTTGCCTATTTAAGAGGACACATTAAAGACAGTGGCATTAAAATAACCCCAGGACAAGGAAGTCTGTTACCAGTCGGGCCTTTGAACATCATTCTCGAAGCGCTCACCTGTGTAGACAGGTGACAACTGAACACATGCATATATTGGAAGGAAGAGAGAAGACTCTCTCTTTGTGGGTATGTGATTGTGTACCTTGGAAAGCCCAGGACACTCCACTGCTACTCACAGAACTAGTAAGAGCTCAGTTACAGTTGCATGTTAATTTACAGAAGTGGATGTTTTACATATATTCCAATAAGAAACTATAGTAAAATTTAATGGAAATAAGATTTCACTCATAATACAAAAAGTTATAGGCAAAATACCATACACAGTGCTTGGTGTACAGTGGTCACATCCAATATCTTTTGAGCAAATAAAAAAATTTATAAGATATATGCTAGGTCCTATATTCAGAAGATTTAAAAGCTTTCGATACACTGTATTCTCAGAGGGAAGAGTATTCAGGTGTCATTTTCTCACTAGCTATAAATGTTGTCTAATCCCAATTAAAGGTGGAGAGGAAAGAAGAAATAGATTAGATACATATCCAGGGAAATTCTGGTCTGTTGTCATTGTGTTGTGGTAGTGGATGGGGGATGCCATGCCTTACAGGGGATAAGAGATTAAAAAGTTAAAGAACAGGCTGAGTGCAGTGGCTCACACCTGTAATCCCAGCACTTTGGGAGGCCGAGGTGGGAAGACTGCTTGGGCCCAGGAATTTGAGACCAGCCTGGGCAACGTAGCGCGATTTCATCTCTACAAAAAATAAAAAGCTTAGCCAGGCATGGGGGAGCACGCCTGTAGTTCCAGCTACTTGGAAGGCTGAGGCGGTAGGATCATCTGAGCCCAGCAGGTCGAGGCTGTGGTGGCTGTGAGCATGCCACTGCGCTCCATCCTGGACCACAGAGTGTGACTCCAACTCCAAAAGAAAAAAAAGTTGAAGAACAGACACAGCATTGGACAGACGCCAGTGCAGAGGGACGGAAGGGCCAGGAAGAGAGCTTCTCTTTGCAAGACCTCATTCTGGGACAGGAGGATGATGGGATTCTTGGAAGAAGCAACCTCTACACTGAAGCCCAGGGATGAGTGAGGGGGGATGGTGCTGGTACGGTGGGAGAAGACGGCCTTGTGTCAGGCGCAAAAGGAGGCCAGGCCAGGGTAGCCAGAGGCGGCTGGACTCGTAGGACCTGGCGTCCCTACTGAGGTCCACGGCCCCATCCTTTGGAAAGCCAGGAGCCACAGCAGGCTGTTGAGCGGGGCTACTAGCAGGGGGCTCTAGCATCATATGTGGTGCCATAACTGACACTCACCTGGGTCCTCATTTGCAGCCCACGGCGCCCTGCATCCAGGAGTTCCTCACCCTCCTGGCCGTGTGCCACACTGTTGTCCCCGAGAAAGATGGCGAGAACATCATCTACCAAGCCTCCTCTCCAGGTGAGGCTCTGTGGGTGAGCCCGCGGCCCCTTCTTAGGACACGTGGGTGCCACTGTTGCAGAGGGAGACACAGTGGTGTGGCCTGCCCCGCATGCTCGGCCGAATGTCTCTGGTCTCACACGTGGCCAGGCTGTGGCCATGGTTGTTAACGCTGTGGACAGTCAGTGCCGGACTCTCCTGACCCTCATCACACCTGACGGCAAAGGGGGGACCCGGGCCGGCTCGCATTTCCCAGGAGGAGTTATGGGGCTAGACCGAGCTCTGAAGGGAGGCCGGGGCTGGCTTCTTCATCCATCCCCCATGCCTTGTGACCTTTCCACCTGTCGGTACAGGGCACTAACTGTGTACTCGCTTCCTGGGGCTCTGAGAATCCCTCAGCGCTGCAACTAAGTCCTGCCACCCTCAGAGAAGACGTTGGGTGGGAAAGGCCTGGTGATGTCACTTGAGTTAATCAGAGAGAACTTGATCCCAGTTGAGAACAGCAGGAATGTAGCTCCAGCTGGTCCTGATAAATTAGCTTCATAAGTCCACACATCCTCCTGTCTTATAGAAGTGCTGGTGTCAGGCCCTGGCGGTGAGAAAAGTGAGTGCTCCTCTACCCCGAGTCCTTATTACTGTGTGGGTAATGCCAACCCTCTAAAACCACAGTGGGGATTGTTGATTTGAAGAATGATACTAAGAATTCTGACCTTGTGAGTGATTTGTCAATGTGTTCCCGCCTCCGTTCACAGATGAAGCTGCTTTGGTGAAGGGTGCTAAAAAGCTGGGCTTTGTCTTCACAGCCAGGACGCCCTACTCAGTCATTATAGAAGCGGTAAGTGACACGCCTGTGCTCATGTTGGGTCGCCTCCTTTTGTGAAGCCTGTGTGTTTGAAATAGGGTGTCTATTTTAACTATAATGGCTAAGTTCCTCTTTTTCTTTCTGTGAAAAATTAGACCCAGCCGGGTGTGGTGGCTCCCGCCTGTCATCCCAGTACTTTGGGAGGCCAAGGCTGGAGGATCGCTTGAGGCTGGGAGTTTGAGACCAAACTGGACCACATAGCGAGACCTTGCCTCAGCAAAAATAAAAATAAAATAAAATAACAAAATTAGCTGGGCTGGGTGGCACACGTCTGTATTACCAGCTGTTTGGAAGGCTGAGGTGGAAGGATCACCTGAGTCCAGGAAATCGAGGGTACTGAGAACCATGTTGGTGCTACTGCACTCCAGCCTGGGCAACAGAGTGACTCAACCAAAAAAAGAAAGAAAGAAAGAAAAGAAATTAGACCCACTGAAACACTGTGGTGGTTATGTGATTATATTTACGTATTCATGTTTTGCACCATGTTACTTTTTCCTTTTACAGATGTTCCCCCCAAGTCTTTCATACGCTGATGTGAAATTATTTATAGCAAAGAACTTTGCAGGTTTATCATAGTTGGAAATTTACTTCATGGTCCACTCATCTTTGAGGGCGAGTTCTACATCTCTGTAACCCAGTGCCAGCGAGTGCTTGTGCATGAGGCCTCGTGGTCCATGGGGCTTCTGTCTCTTCTGTTGGGGGAGAAAAGAGTCAGAGATTAAGATCTCTTTTATTTATATGAACCCTCTCCTCCCCAAAGAAAAGGGGTTTGTGTATTTTCTGATTTTTTCCTCCTCTGAATTTCCCTCTTTATGGACTAGAGGGAGAAATTTAGTGATAGGAAAAAAACTGTATCAGAATAAGATCCCGAGCCAGGAGCGGTGGCTCATGCCTATAAACCCAGCCTTTGGGAGGCAGAGGTGAGAGGATTGCCTGAGTCCAGGGGTTCAAGACCAGCCTGGGCAATTTGGCAAGACCTTGTCTCTACAATAAATTTAAAAAAACTAACTGGGCGTGGTGGCGCATGCCTGTAGCTCTAGCTACTTGGAAGACTGAGGTGGAAGGATCGCCTGAGCCTAGCAGATCAAGGCTGCAGTGACTGTGAGCATGCCACTGCACTCTATCCTGGGCCACAGAGTGTGACTCTAACTCAAACAAAAAAAAGACTAAGATCCAGCAGGGACCCTTGGGGTGGGCGGCAGGGTTAGTGGTGGTTAGGATTGGCGAGATGCTGGTGTTTAATGGTGCCCAGTGGGAAGGGCTATGTTTTAATGGGCTGAAAAGAACCCAAGGACAGTCCCTGGCTTCCCCACCCTCCCTTGGGGAAGACTCATGAATGATCACAGGTGTTGGTTCTACTCATGCATGCTTAACCTTCGTCCTGTGTGCCTGAGAATACTCGTTGGCTATGCTTGTGACCGCAGCCTTTACCCCGAGATAACCCACGGGTGGTGACAGTCTTAATCTCACCCCCACAGTTTGCCATGAAATATCTCTCTTTTATTATTATTCCTGTCTTGCTCTAAAATAGCCATAGTCTTTGGGAATGGATGGCACCATTCTATTTATAGCATTCTTGTTTTAGTAGTGGTATTTCATTTACAAAATATAGTCATTCTCTCTCTCTCTTTTAAGTAATTCTTGTTAGGATTAGAGACAAGTTCTGTTGAGAAATAACTCCAAGAACAGTTTTGCTATTTTGTTTTCACATTGAAAACCAGTCAGATTTGCTGCAGCTTCAAAGAGTATATGAATGTAAAATTAAATGAACACATCAGAGAGCTGCATTTTTTTTTTCTAAGTGAGAAATGGATTAAATCCCCAGACCTCTTGAATGCATCTGAAGTCCGCTCCCAAGTGGCATCAAAGCTGGCCCTGGTTCCTGACTTGGCAGTATTTTGGCCAGTGTTTTCGATATCATAGCTTATACAAAATGTCAGTTTCTCGGCATCTTCCATTTCTTTTCTTAGGGAGTGCAGAGATCAGATTGTGTTTATTTTACTTTATTTTTATTTTGATCAGCAGTAAAATTTAGCTGAGGGAAGTGTGCAGTGATTAAAAGTGGAACCAAAGGACTGATTGAATATAATGTGTCTGTTACAGACATTTTAAAAAGATGAGGAGACTTTTCGCCTGACCCGTAGGGTTTTCAGTTGTTGTGTAGGCGCTGGTGAAGACCACGTCCTTTGCACAGTGATGCGTTGGGGAAAAAGTTGATTCGATTGAAAATTTGGACAACAGTATGCATACACCCTCTGGAATTTTCAGTTGACAAAAAATGGTGACTATGGGCATTCTGACTTGCAAGAACCTCCTTCCCCAAGGACATTTTCTCAATTGCCCTAAAACCAAACAAAGATTCATAATCCCTTACCTCCAAACCACAGTTAAAAAAACCTTTGACTTCCAAATTTTTTCCTAAGTTTGAAGACTAGTCGTTTGATAGCAAAACATAATCAAAATCGACATGAGGCTACATATAATTTTTATGAATCTCACCTAATATGATAGGCATATATTTTGCAGCAAAAAATGGATGTGATGTGTAACAGGATGTTACCACAGACCCTGCGGGGGGCATTATGGGAGATGGTCTTGAATAAGCCTTATTCAAGTCTTAAATACACATATCATTTAAAAAAATGTGTAAAATTTTGAATTAGAAGCATAGCTGGTCTCAGGGTTTCTGATGGACTCTGTCTTTTATCGTCATCTCTCGGAAGTGGCTACTTGGGCCAACTGTTAGGACAGACATTGGAGAAATGAGAAGTTTCTACCAGAAGAGGGAGCCATGACCCCACCAGACTTGTGAGAAAACAGAGCATGTTGCAGGAGTCTAGAAGGTGGGAGACAGAGACAGAGAGAGAGAGACACACAGAGAGACAGAGACAGAGAGACACACAGAGAGACAGAGACAGAGAGACACAAGACAGACAGAGAGAGAGACAGAGAGAGAGAGAGAGAGAGAGAGAGAGAGGAGTTTATGATTGAGAGATAATTGCTTTGAGATTTTAATACTTTGCATCTCAGGTAAGAACCTATTTTTCTGTCTTTAGATGGGACAGGAACAGACCTTTGGAATCCTTAATGTCCTGGAATTTTCTAGGTATGTTTGTCTTTTATACCCTTGAAATAAAATACCTATATCTACATTTAACAGCCTTATCCATGTTTGCATGATTGCACGGCATGATTCAATGTAGTATGTAAGTATTAAATATGGTAAATATATCTCCACAAACCCTTTTCTCCCTGGCATTTGTCACATTTCATATATATATTTTAAAGATGTGGGGTACAATTCAGGAGTAGGTGTGTAAGTGGTCATTGTACAGGAAAAGTTTGGGCCTCCCGCTTATCCCCACTTTGCCTGGTATGAGATCAGGTCCCCTTATTGATGTTCTGTGTTCCCCTCCCGCCCCCATCATTTTTCATTAAAGAAAGTGAAGTAGGTTATTTCTTTGTTTTTGTTTTCAAAAGAAATGTTGTACGTTCATGTCCTCCTGTTTCTGTCTATTCCTAACGCTGGGTGTTCTTGTATCAGCAACTTCAGACGTGTCTGAATGGGAGGAGGGCGTGATTTTCCCTGGCATTTCCCAGGTCCCGGGAGGTCATTCCTCTTGCTCCATCTGAGCGCTCCTCCGGAGATCTGAGAAACTGACAAATCATGAAGATTTGATCAATTCATCCCATCAGAGATTCGGTCCACACAGAACTGGTCTCCTGCATATATTTGGACGCATTCTTTGCCAGCATGGTTTTAAAATGAAAGACCCAATAGTGTTTGTTGGGTTCTTGTGTTCACCTAGAACATTCGTGGTTTTTTTTATAAGGAAACATATCTTAATGTTTTGTTTCCTTCCCTCTTTTTAACTTTGAACCATCAATACAAGAGCAGGGCTATGTTGCCATCTCAGGCACAACTTTCCCTATGATTTAAATTAGTAGGTTTTTCAAGAATCTTTGCTAAAGGATTCACAAATTGTTTAGTGTGTCTGCTTTATAAGTTATTTGATAAAGGTCAGTTTTTTATCCTCATAGCCTTAGTATTCAGTGTTTGGATTGCAAGCTTGAACGTTGGTCAGATGGGACCCTTGGGGTAGAGAATTCGATGACCGGTGCTGTGGTGACTCATAGGCAGGATGTGGTGATTGTGTTCCCATGTGAGGACGTGTGAGGCATCTCTCCAGATTGTTTTGTGCCCCATCTCTTGTGGGAAACTGGGCACTACTCTGTGGCTGCCTGAACTGGGACCCGCAGTTCATGGGCTGGCAAGGAGGAAGAGAAAACAGAGGGAAAAACAGGTGACTGTGGATGGACACATGAGGACGTATTAAAAAATATACAAGGGAGTATGAGAAAGAACAGAGAGAGTATGCATGATTGTAGTGGTGGTTCTGTGTTTTTTTTGATGTACTCATCTTTTTCCTGATGCCACTTAATCTTGAAACACTCCTTTGAAGTAGTTGCTTTACATATGGAAAAACTGAAACACGGGTTAGTTACCTGCACTAAGGGTGTCCATCTGCTAGGTTGTTGAGAGAGAATGCAATCCAGATCACAGAGAGTGCTGTGGGTTAGGATGTTGGAATTTATCCAGGGTTGAAGAGATCCTGTCTCCCACACACTCAGGAGCTTGTAGTTCAGTGGGAATCACAAAACTGGAAGACCATGGAGGTGGGTGGTCCAGGGCAGCAGCCCCCAACCTTTCCGGCATCAGGGACCGGTTTCGTGGAAAACATTTTTTCCATGGGATGGGGCTGGAGGATGTGCAGTCAAACCTCACTGCTCATGTTCATCTGTATTTGCAGCCACTCCCCAGCATTATCATCACCACCTGAACTCTACCTCAGCTCTTCAGGGATTAGAGTCTCATAAGGAGCATGCAACCCATCTCCCCTGCATGTGCAATTCACAACAGGGTTTGTGCTCCTGTGAGAAGCTAATGCCGCAGCTGGTCTGACAGAAGTTGGAGCTCAGACGGTGATGCAAACGATGGGGGAATGGCTGTAAATACGTATGAATCTTCTCTCACTCGCCTGCTGCTCACCTCCCGCTGTGCGGCTCAGTTCCTAACAGGGAACCCCTGGTCCAGGGCCTACTTTAGTTGGGGTGTGCTTTGGAAGATGGGAGGATGTGGGCAAAGGCCCCGATCAGTGTGTGCGGAAGAGGAGCATAGATCAGGGTACGCTTGAAGCCTGCCGCTGGCACATGGGAGGGTTTTTGGGAGAAGAGGTGAGGTTGCCTAGGGGTCTGGGGAGCAGTCGGAAGAATGCTCAGGCAGTGGGTGAGGATGGGCCCTGATGGAAGATGTGTGAGGAGGTGTCGAGGCCCCAGTGTGGAGAGGAGAGAGTTCCTTGGGGCTGAATTAGAAATGTTCTACAATCTGTAATTTGCTTCTACTCCAGTTAAAAGATGATGCAATGAGGAGCTTTGGGTTAAGTGGATCTATACCCAGTCTTCCACTTGGCTATTTACTGGGCAAAGTCCTTGGTAGCTTTGAGCTGAAAATAGAGAACACAACTCTTGGGGTCCTGTCAGAAGTCTTTAGATGTACATAGCTGGTGCTCAGATTCTCCTTTCCTGTCTCTCCTACTGCCGATAGCTGTGCTGGTGAAGTTTCATTGCAGGAAAAGAAATAGGTTGATGTCCATTTGATATATACCAAAGAGTGGAAGGTAGGCACTAAAGCCCTACTGAGAGGAAAAGGTAGGGAAGGGTGGAGGCCGGTCATTTGTAGGAGTGCCACAGCCCTTTCTGTTGTGATTCGTGTTTTGTTAGAGGACATGTGTCTTATAAACAGATCAGTAATGTCCGCCTCTTTTTTTTTTTTTTTTTTAACTCTCCCAGTAACAGAAAAAGAATGTCTGTAATTGTTCGAACTCCTTCAGGACAGCTTCGACTCTACTGCAAAGGCGCTGTAAGTATCTGCAAAGTGTCTGGTATAGCAGAGAGTTCTTGAAGCTCCTCTGCTAATCGGCTACTTTTCCTGATCACTGTTCTTATCACTCCCTAATGTATTTGCCCAAAACTGAAAGGCAGACTGTGAAGTTGACTTAGAAGTAAGAGCCCACGGATAATAATGGTGGCTCAAGGCAAGACTGTCCATGAAAAGCTTGCATTTGGCCAATAGTCAGTTTCGGAATCAGTAACTTGATGTATCATACGAGATCCTTGGAAGGTGAATGCTGATTCCAGCTGTACTGCCATCCCATTGTGACTTTGGGAAGATAAAGTAACTTGTGTTGACCTGTGGTCATTTCTTTGAGGCTCTGATACATACTGGACCCTAGCAGCTCTTCTTCAATGTCTGTGACTTACTTATTTATTTTTTTATGATCACAGAGAGCTATGTTGTAGGTACAAAAGCTGTGTCTGTGTGTGGCTACATTATTGCTGTCTTTTCAGTTCTTTTTCTCAGTCTTTTTGTCCTGTCTGCCTCTTTGTGACCAAATCTAAGTGCAATACCTCTCTACGGAAAGATGTTATTGCTTATACATCTGACTTGGAGAGCTATATCCTGTTAAATCATGGTCATGTGTGTTGTGGAAAAGAATTATTAAGCTTATTTTATTTGTCTATGTCAAGAATGGGGAGCTATGCTGGAATTCACGATCGGTTGGAAATCTCTACCGATTGTGGGAGGAAGGGTGGCTTTATTTGCAAATACTATGACTGGAGCTTTTAAAAAAATGATGTGTGGGAATTTTCAAGGCATTATATCTGGACCCGTAGAAGAATTCTGTGTTTAGAGTAACAACAACCTGAATTTAGGTTATCAAGGTTTTGTTTTCATGTGATTTATTTTTTTAAACTTTTCGTTTGCTTATTTATTTGCCGCTGTGCACTAAGTACCACATCACATCCCAAAAGGAGTCAATGCCAGGTGGTAGAGACAGAAAGGCTGTCAATAGAAAGAGTATACATATAAAAATGCCACAAAGGTGTATTTTATTTTTATATGATTTAATTCTCTCCAAAAGCCAAATTAGGTGTTTTTTTTTTAAAAAAAAGGAAGTAATATTCTAAAACTATGAAATTTATTTTTTTGTTGGTTTTTTTTTTTTTTTTGAGTTGGAGTCTCACTCTGTCGCCCAGACTGGAGTGCAGTGGCCGCTCCCAGCCACCGCAGCCTCGACCCGCTGGGCTCCAGCAATCCTTCTGCCTCAGCCTTCCAGGTAGTTGGAATTACAGGCATGCGCTACCACGCCCGGCTAATTTTTTGATTTTATTGTAGAGATGAGGTCTCGCCTGCCCAGGCGGGTCTCGAACCCGCGGGCTCAGGCAATCCACTCACCTCAGCCTCCCAAAGGCGTGGGATTACAGGCTGAGCCACCGAGCCTGGCTTGAAATTTATTAATTCACTTATTTTTTGAGTCGAGGTCTTACTCTGTTGCCCAGGCTGGAATGCAGTGGCTCACCACAGCCTCGACCTCTTGTGCTCAGGCGATACTTCTGTCTCAGCCCCCAGAGTAGCTGGGACTACAGGCATGTGCCACCATGCCTGGCTAATTTTTTATTTTTTATTTTTTGTAGAGACGAGGTCTCGCTATGTTGCCTGGGCTGGTCTTGAACTCCTGGGCTCAAGCAATCCTCCTGCCTCAGCCTCCCAAAGTGTTGGAATCACAGGCACGAGTCACCTCGCCCAGCCTAAATCTATGCAGTTTAAATGATTGTTGTTGGATCATCTGTGGCATTCAGTTCCCCATTCCTGCTGGAAATAGACACAGGCAATGTGCTGAGTACACCCATGTGTTTCTCGGCAGGATCGGGTTCAGTGTCTAGTGGGCTGTGCTCTCTCTGGTCGGGAAGCAAGGTTGGGCTCGAGTCATTTAAGAGGTGCATTTTACACCTTTCACGTCTGCACAAAGATCTTATAAGCTTTGGGATAGGAGTTTGCAAATTTGGGTACATATAGGCACTGCAATGTCCTTAATGATGCCCCTGACTCTCCGGTCCTCCCCAGAGTGTTTTTGTATGACTTTTAAGATACATCACAGATTCTGGTGTTTCGGACACATCCATACCTGACTTGTTTTCCACGGGTCAGGCCTGAGCTCAGCCAAGAGCGCTATTCCTACCTGCCCACTCCAGTAATCTCATTGCCTATTAGACAAACACCAATAAAACGAAGCTGTGCTCAGCTTGCCAGTTGGAAGGTTTGCCCAAGGGTTTGCCAGTCACAGTGTTTTCCTATTTTATAGGATAATGTAATTTTTGAGAGACTTTCAAAAGACTCAAAGTACATGGAAGAAACCTTATGCCATCTGGAATATTTTGCCACGGAAGGTAAGTGAAACTTGGAGATGGTATTTCTGACTGTTGTGCTTTCAGGCATGCTGGCTTGCTTCATGAGAGCGTACGTCTCATCCCCAGTGCCTGTTCCATCCCCACCCACCTGCACCTCCTGTGCCCATGGCAGTGACGAGATGGGTGGCCCCGTACAAACTCCATGACCTTTACATGCCTCTGAGTCACCAGTAGATCAGAGGGGGAGGGCAGACAGACTCACAATGGGCCGAGTTGCCTTGTAGGTATGAGTCCCTTTCTGGAAAACTCTTGTGGGTATCTTCCTGTCTCTCTTTTGTTATCCTTATGACACTGGCTTTTCCATGACTTCAGGAAATAATAATTCATGGATTCTGTAGTGACAGGAGAGTAGTTCTCTGGAAGGCTTTTTTTTTTTTTTGAGTCAGAGTCTCACTCTGTCGCCCAGGTGGGAGTGCAGCGGCATGCTCACAGCCGCTGCAGCCTTGACCTGCTGGGACAACAGGCATGCGCCACCACACCCATCTAATTTTTTGATTTATTGTAGAGATGAGGTTTTGACAGGTTACCCAGGCTGGTTTCTTGAGCTCCTGGGCTCAAGTAATCCTCTCACCGCCTCCACCTCCCAAAATGCTGGGATGACAGGTGTGAGCCACCGCGCCCAGTTCTGGAAAGTTTTAAACAATGCCGATGTCAGGTTTCCCTGCTACTGAGTATGGTGATGGAGCCGTGCTCCACGACTGACGGCCGGCTTCTCATCTTAGTGTGTTCCTCTGGCTACACACGCACACACATGTGTGTGACTGCTTAGAAGCCTGACTCCTTCCAGTGAGAGCACACGGGGCTTCTTGTTGCTGTCTTGAAACTCACTTCCTGCTTCCTCTGCATGCTAGTCCCCTCCTGCTACTCTGGGACACGTGGTCACACAGCCCTGCCACCCTCTACTATGGAGAATTTACCATCAGGCCTTCTCCGCACCCTCAGTCTTATGGAAGAGGTGGTTTATGTTAGAACACAGGAGAGTTGTTTTTCAGTTTCCTCCTATAGATGCGTGAATGATAACTTGGTGTGAGCTAAGAAGTGGCTGGTTTCTTCAGTTCTGGGCACATGTTGATAGAAGCAGCAGCCACCCGGTGTCCCTTAGGAGGTGAGACATGCCACTGGCCCCACTCACTGCTTGCCTTTTGGCAGGCTTGCGGACCCTCTGCGTGGCTTATGCCGACCTCTCTGAGAACGATTATGAAGAGTGGCTGAAAGTCTATCAGGAAGCCAGCACCATCCTGAAAGACAGAGCCCAACGGCTGGAAGAGTGTTACGAGATCATTGAGAAGGTAACCCTACCGCACACGGTCTAGTCCTTGCGAGCCCTGGGAAGGACTTAGCCGCCTATCGAGCCAAGGCTTTGAACAGGAAAGCATTCATGACGGCTTAAGAAATATTGGGTCTGAAACAGCATCGGAGACTTTCTGGGTCTGCCTGAGATCAGGCTTAATGAGATTAACTCACCCTGGGCAGTTACCTGAGCAGGCAGAATGCACTGCAAGCCAGTTAGACATGGTACACGCCAAGTATTTCATGCTCATTCGAGTAATATGGAAACTTCGACACTGCCCTCTCCACATTGCTTACTTTGATTATTGTTTTGTCTTTGTTTTTGGTCTGCCCCACAGTGTTAGGTAACTTTCTTTTTATTGGATTCCCTCAAGTCTGGGAGTTGGCTTTCAGCCTTTGCTGCTTCATAGCAGCCACCATCAGGCTATCCATTTACCAGTTTCCATAACATCAAAACCATCACCTATTGGCTTTTTTCATGTTTTTATTGGCTTGTTAACTCCCCTTTGCTCTTCCGCTCTGTTTTTGTTTGAGTTTTATATTCAGTTGCTTATAGTCAGTTGTTTTAATGGAATTTGGGTAGGGATAGAACTGAATTCAAGTATTCCTTTGTTCTGATTTCCTGGAAATAGAGTAATTCCCCTACATATGAACCTTCAAGTTGTGAACTTTCAAAGATGCAAACGTGCGTTCATGTTTCCAATCACATGAGTGTGCTCACATGTCTGGTGTATATTATTGCATGTGTGCACCCTCTACAAGTGATTGTACCTTTGTGTACTTTACTGTACAGGACTGTCTAGAGTACAGTATATATATTTTGAGCCCAGGATATCTGGAAGCAAGCGTAAAAGCAGTGGGGATGTAGCTGGGACTGTATGGCCAATGGTGTTAGTTGGGTGCCTAGGCTGACTTTGCTGGACTTACAGATAAATTGTACTTACAAATGCGCTCTCAGAATGAAGCTTGTTCTTACATAGGGGACTTACTGTGTTCCAAATTACTTGTAGAATCAGAAAAAGTGATTAAACAGGTGATGTGCCTGTATTGGGTACTCAGGAGGTACTGGGTTTTGCCACAGTCTGGTGACCCTACGGAGGGACTGTATCAGGTAGAGATGCAGGAGGTGGGCACGTGAAATAAGCCTTCTGTGCAGAACCTCTGGACTCTTCCAGATCAGAGGGCAGACCATGAGCATCTGGGGGAACCACGCATTCACAACGACCCTCAGCATAAATGAACCTGGGCTTTGAAGTGGACTAAAGGGCCAGCATTTTATAGCTCTTCAACCTTAAGATTCTTGGCTAAAATTCCAGCCTTGACTTCCTGGGCTCAGGTGACCCTCCCACCTCAGCTTCCCAAATAGTGGCGTGAGCCGCAACACCCGGCCATCATAGCTGTTCAACTTTAAGATTTTTGACTGTTTTCTTCTCTCACTGTTAAATTCATTGCATCACGGGTCTCTTATTCCTATTCTGCCAGAGAAATATGTCTTCTAGAATCAGTTCTTCTATGTTAAATAGGACATAATACATCACTCATTCATGGAGTGAGGAGGAGCTCAGGCCCTGACAGTGTCCTCCAGATAACGTACCCACTTGCTCTGCTGCTGGATGGTTTCTATCCCAACAAGAAGCCCATGATGAGCATCAGGTTAGGGTTAGCGTTAGGGTTAGGGTGTGTGGCGAGGGTCTGCCATTGCCAATCGTTGAAAAGATGGTCTGCGCACATAGGTGTGACATAGAGGAAACATGACAGTCACCCCAGAACAGTATAATTGCCTTTCTTTTTGCCAGAGTCTGTCATCAATGCTGCTCTTAAATCGGTGCCAATCTCTAACCGAAGATACTTTTCAATCTAGAATTTGCTGTTACTCGGAGCCACGGCCATAGAAGATCGACTTCAGGCAGGAGTTCCGGAGACCATTGCGACCCTGCTGAAGGCAGAAATTAAAATATGGGTGTTGACAGGAGACAAGCAAGAGACTGCAATTAATATAGGTAATCATTGTAAAGAATGGATCGGTGCTGGGTTTGCATTTGGTTTTAAAGTGTGTGGTAGATGTGTCTAAGTGTTTCTCACATTCACTGGTGGATGAGGTTTTATAAGAGGCCTCTTCTTTTATGAGGTCAAGAAGAGAGTTTGCCCAAATCAAATGAAGATGGTCTTCTGAGCATTATTTACCTGTTATTAATATTAAAACTATTACAGCTCCTGGAAAAGAATTAAGCACACTTATACAGAATATAGAATTCAAGAGTTGACAGCTTTGCTTTTCTTATTCCTTTCTTCACAACATTTTCGTCTAAGAGACTTAGGAGAGTGTGTTTTCACTAGGCTTAAATATGCATGATTACTACTATTATTGTTATTGTTACTATTGAGTCAGGGTCTCACTCTGTTGCCCAGGCTGGAATGCAGTGACACTGTCACAACTCAGCACAACCTCAACCTCCTGGGCTCAGGTGATCCTCCTGCCTCAGCCTCTCAAATAGTGGCGTGAGTCACTGCACCTGGCCTGCGTTATTCTTTTTTTATTTTTTAGTTTTGAGTTGGAATCTCACTCTGTCACCCAGACTGGAGTGCAGTGGCATGCTCCCGGCCACCACAGCCTCGACCTGCTGGGCTCCGGCGATCCTTCCGCCTCAGCCTTCCAAGTAGCTGGAACTACAGGCACGCGCTACCACACCCAGCTAATTTTTTTTTTTATTGTAGAGATGAAGTCTCACCAAGTTGCCCAGGCGGGTCTCAAACACGCGGGCTCAGGTAATCCACTCACCTCAGCCTCCTAAAGCTCTGGGATTACAGGCTGAGCCACCGAGCCCGGCACCTGCATTATTCTTTTGTGTAATTACACCATTTTGGTGATTTTACCACCTAATAGATTTTTCTCAGAACTTTGCATCGCCCCTTCCCCATGTCGGTTGACAGCTTCCTTGTGTGCTAAACCTCACAGAGATGGAAATTGAAGAAAGGAATTTAAGTCAGAATAACTTTGCTAATGTTAAAGAAGCACATTTGAAAATCTGAAAAACTGCTGAAGCTACTTATTTTTTTTAAACCTTATCTTGCTGGGCACCATGACTCATGCCTGTAATTCCAGCACTTTGGGAGGCCAAGGTAGGAGGATTGTTTGACCAGGAGTTTGAGGCCAGAAAAACCCACTAAAACCTGTGAGTGTAGGTGACTGTAGTCCTCTTCAGAATGGTCTCCTTGGAATATTCTCGACTTAATCCAATGCTGTTCCTTTCCTTAAAGCCTTCTCTTTTGAGTCCATTCTTTCACATAACCTTAGTTGTAAGCTCGGAATAAACACAAGTCAAACAGTAGCATTTCTGCTTTCTGGGGTGAATCTGATGTTTGTTACATAAAGAAGAGCCATTTAATCATTTCTTATCAATGGATAAGGCATTGGCCTCCTAATTTCTAATCAAGAATATAACTAAATGAATACAACCGGGCTCCCAAGCCCCTAAAGTTGGAGTCACAAGAGAGTGATGTGTGATTCATAAACAGTCTCCAAAGTGTGAGATGCTGGTCAGTACATGCACAGTGCTGGTTTTGAACAAGAGTGTGTTGGCATCTCAGTGCAGACTCATCACTGCTACTGGAAAATAAAACCCAAACTGACCCTCCTTTGATGGTCAGTAGCATTTTTATACATGAAGGATAGCACTTTTGCCTTTTGTATACTACCTTTCTGTGTACCGGGGGTGTCAAAAACAATGTATTCACTTTTTAAGAGGTGTTATCTATAGATGACTTTTTCAAAGTCAAATTGAGTTGTGGTAGCAATGTGTAGTATGACGTTCACTCAAAAGATGGTGTTAATCTCTTGTTATTTGTATATACTGGGTATTACAATTTTAGTACAGTTTTTCCTTTCTTAAAATGTGCATACTTTTTTTGGCACCCTCTGTATGTGTATAGATTCGTCTTTCCAGTACTCTTTCCTGCATAAATTTGGCCTAAAATACCTATTGTGGCTCTCTGGCCCTGTTGGTTACACAGGGCACACTAAGTTGACCATTGCCCTGAGATACATACCTACAATTTAGGTAGTGTGCTCTCTGTCCTTGTACACTGGTATGAAAAACGTGAGCAACCCTGTCAAGTTAAAGTTGAGCTGTTAAGCGATCGCTTTTCTTAGTTTCCTAGCTCTGAGTGTCCCTGCTGGACTCATGACCTAGTTTTCTCCAAGCCCCACACTTGACTTCCTTAGGTGTATTCTTGGGGGGTGCTATGGGAGGCTGATCATGCCATAGCTGGGTGCAGGCCACACCCTCTCTGTCTGCATCCCAGCTACAGCACCCCTCTCCTCTGCCCCCCAGCACACATGGCCCTGTTCTTGCTTGTCCTTTGGTTATACCTGAGCCCATCAGGGTCTAGCTAAGCTTGGAATACACACAAGCCAAAGCAAAGGACTGAAATTCAACCTAGAGAACACAAAGTGGGTTATTACTTGGAAAGTTGTGCTTGTATGTGGTGAAGCTGTTCTGAGCCTTATGAGATCATTGATGCCTGTTCAAACAATTATGTATTTTTTTTGTTTTTTTTGACTTGGAGTCTCACTCTGTCGCCCAGACTGGAGTGCAGTGGCCGCTCCCGGCCACCGCAGCCTCGACCTGCTGGGCTCCGGTGATCCTTCCGCCTCAGCCCTCCACGTAGCTGGAACTACAGGCGCGCGCTACCACCCCCGGCTAATTTTTTGATTTTTTTGTAGAAATGAGGTCTCGCTGCCCAGGCGGGTCTCGAACCCGCGGGCTCAGGCAATCCACTCACCTCAGCCTCCCAAAGGCGTGGGATTAATGTATTTTTTTTGAGTTGGGATCTCAATCTGCCACCCAGACTAGAGAGCAGCGGCATGATCATGGCTCAGACTCCCAGGTTCAAGTGACCCTCTTACTCAGCCTCCCGAGTAACTGGAATTACAGGCACACACCACCTCACCCAGCTAATTTTGTACTTTTTGTAAAGACAAGGTCTTGCTATGTTGCCCAGGCTAGTCTCGAACTCTTGGACTCAAGCGATTCTCTGGCCTCGGCCTCCCAAAGTGCTGGGATTACAGGCATAAGCCACCACCTCTGGCTTCAAACAGTTAAAAAAAAAAAAAAAGATAGTTATTTTGTACTTTTCCAAAGAAGGCATAGTAACATGTGCAGTGTTGATGCCAGAAGCACTCATATCCATTTGATATTTCTTAATTGATCTTTCTTAACAAACACTCCCCAAGACCACCAGAAGGTGATGCCCTGTAAACCGAAGACTTTGCTAATGTTTTAGGCTTATCCTGGAGGCGTTCTCTGCTCATGTGTTATCTCATGTATCAGTCACATTTAAATACATTTCTGGTGTTGCCAAGTAAGCTGCTAACAGCTAGGGAACTGGTGCTCTTTGGAAGAGCTAATTCGGAATCGTTTCTTCTCTCTGCCTTCAGAACTCAAGTGTGTAAGCCTGGGCAATGTGGAGGGATTAAATGTCGCTTTCTGATTTAGGTTGTCTGTTGAGCCCACGAATGACGCAGAAGGCTCAGGAAAGCCTACACGTCCAGACGTTTTATTAGACTTATCGGTGTCAGACCACAGGCGGCGGCTGTCAGCAGCATGGGGTCACACTCCAGATACAGTGTGGATTTTACGCCTGTGTTCTAGTCATATGGTCCTCATAGCCCTGGTAATGTGAACCATTATCGACCTGTCTCTCATCATACTTTACATGTTAGTGTGTTCCATGTGTGTTTGAGGGTATCCAGGAGGTGTTTGGGGGAAGACCAAGCATCTAGCAGTTCTCTTTCCAGATGAACGAAAGGAAAGAGAGAAAATTAGTAGAGTGCCCCCACTATGCCAGGAGTGTTCTCTGAAAACTCTTCCTCAGTCTTTCCAAATGAACGGACTTGTAGCTCTCGGAGGGAATGTGAAGCTTCCCAAGGTTGTGATCTACTTGAGGATCAAACTAGCACTAGCTCTTAGGGTTCTCGATTTAAGGATGCGGGGTTGATTTAAAGAGAGCCACAAAGCTTTCCCCCACCAAAAAAAAAAAAAAAAAAAAGATTCTGAAATTTGACTTAGAAGACCGGGGCGGAGGTGGGGGGTGGAGAGGTTGGAAGGATCCTGTATTCCATCCATCCGTCCTAATGTTCACGCTGTTTTTCCATTTTAATGTCTCTGAGATTGGGATATCTTATGATTGTCGACCTTTATGTTTCTAATCAGCATTTTCTTAGTGTTCTACACCCCAGGAGTCCATTTTTGGATGCGGGGATGTTTGTTATGTTTAGGGTTTGGGGTTGTTGGCTCTCTTCAGCATTTTTTTTTAAAATATATATTTCATAGTCGAAGAATTTATTTTTTTAAATGTAACTTTTTTTGATCATGCCTTGGAAATAAATGTACTTAGTTAAATCCAGTTCCAGGACATATGTGTCTCCTCGGAGCCAGTGAGTTGGTGTAGATAAAACGTCACCTTGCCTTGGAGGTTGCAGTAGTTTGAAGTTGGCGTGTTGCCAGAACCCCGCGGTGCTGTGCTTGAGTGTATGCTAACTAGCTGTGTTTTGGGGAGTTGGCAATTTTCTATTTCAGTTTAAAAATCTGGCATCAGCTAGTCTAAAGTGAAATTTCAGATGTAGCCCTTGCGAATCATGCCGTCGTCATTTCCTTATTACCACTGGATAAAACATCTATTAAATGGTTAGGCAACAGATGCGGAGTTTTCAGGGCCTGTAATTTTTTTTTTTTCTTTCTAATGGATGTAGGATGAGTGAGAACAAAATCCTAGTGTGTACTCCATTTTCAAGTCATTAAGTTGGATATAGCTTTCATCTCCAACCATTTCTTAGTTGGAATTCCGAATCCCCTTTCCCCCAACCCTGCATTTTGTTACCCGTCATTTGATTCTTGTAAAACCATGTTTCTTTTAAACATGGTCTTAGATGTTTATTAAACATTTTAAAAAATGAATTTTACTGGCCGGGTGCGGTGGCTCAAGTCTGTAATCCCAGCAC